TCTATCTTAATACGTTTCCTTAACAAACTCTTTTTTGATCACTCTCTCTAAGTCTGGTTTATAATGTATATAAGGACATCTCCAAATACAATGAGATTCCTGACAGCAATAACATTATAGAGGAGAAGATTAATATTAAAAGAGTATAGAATCCTTTAATTAATGGAATTACTAAAAGTCATTATTATAAGAATTGAGAATCTTAAGAAATTGCATTCTAGATATACTGTAAATTTGACTAAAATCACAACTTATTGCTGTTCCTTACCTTCTCTTATTAGTCAAAAATTCCAATTCTCCAAAACATTGGCCTGTTGTAAATCGCTTTAAAATCTTACCAGAATTATCATCAATCAAATTTACTTCTCCTTTCCAAACTATATAAATGCAACATTCATCTAATTGATTTTATTAATAAATTATTTCTCTAGGAGTATATGATTAAAGATTTAATTCACATGCAATTTAAGGTAAAATTTCTTCAGAAAAATTTTTATTGAAAAAGGGAATGCATTACATAACTCTAAATTAAACATCTTAAATGAGTTCTTATTTTAAATTAGAAGGCAATTTATCTATGATACCACTAATTTCATTTTTGTATAATTTCTCTTATTTATGAAAATGATATTTTAAATAATTACGTATTCTACCTTATAATTATTCTTCAACTTAATTGTTATTCATATATTAATTAATTAATAAAAGGGTCCTCTTATATTATTACTTTTGAGCATCCATATTAGTGAAAATAGATCCTATTTAGTTCATGGAGAATGCAAAAATACCACTAGAAAATATCATAAGGATTATAGCACATAAAACTTCATATATATTTTTACCAGAAATATCACCATATCCAACTGTCACCATAGTAGTTGTGGCCCAATAAAATGAAAAAACATACATTTATAAAGTGTTAGAATTATCAAATTAGGAATCTTAAGTCCAAGAAATTTAATTTGATTCAACACTTTTGACACCAACATAATGCCAAACACAAGCCATAAAATGAGCAAAATAAAATGTTATTATGATTAGTTAAATTAAATTTAAGACTTCAGTTAAATATGAGGATTCCACAAAGGTTTCCTCATACTTATTAAGATATTTCTTAAGTTTAATAAAATTCAATCCAAATTAAACTAATACTATTACTTCTTAAAACGAATAAGTCTTAATTCCAATATCACTAATAACAAATATCAAAGTTATGAAATAAATTACATCTTCATATAATTCATTTTTTATATAAGATTTAATTATATGAATTCTTTTTTTGATTAATTTACCTTGATCGAAAATACCTCTATTAAATTTAATAGCTAAATCAGCTCCAAACAAATATGTTAAAGAACTTTCAAAGGCCTCAATACTTGAATTAGAGGATGGATTAAATGCTATTTTATAAGGAAGCCACCATAATAAAATTGTCAATTAAATGGCTCTGCAGAATTCCCAAAAAATCATAAGTTTACTTGCAGGGTTAAAGACTGGTAATCTTTTTGAGATTGAATTTATAGAATTTTCATCTTGCTATTGTATTTATTTTGACTTTCTCCAATTTTTTTTTATTTTAGCAAAAAATTCTGGTAAATGTTCTGTTATTTATTTACTCTTATTTTTAGGGAATATGTATGCCTTTTTTTTAAGTTTTTCTATAAATGAATTGACATGATTATTAACAATAAGCATCTTTAACATTCCTGTACTTTTGTATAATTTGATTTTATCATTTTGATGAGGAAAGGTTTTAGAAGTAATGACTTCTTTCCCTTAATTATTTGAATTGCTAATATTTCTAAATCGAATATTTTGTAGAGAATCCATTTATGGTATTGAATCATAATCAGAATTTTCTTTAAATGGTATGTCTTACATATCCATTTAAATTAATTGTGGTCTGAAAGTATCAGACATTCTAGAAGAACCTAATTTGAAAAGCAAATAAAACCTTGGATTTTAAATTCATTATAGAGTGTCTACTCGATATCATCAGTCATTTTAAATAAGAAATACAAATTTATATTCAATTATATTTATTTATAAATTTGTACATATATAATAAAAGAGAAAGAAATTACTAATGATCATGGATTCATAAAATTTTCACTCATAACTCTTTTCCTTGTAAAATCACCTAAGGTTTCAGCAACTTAAATTTTCTTTATTTTAGGTTGTTTTTTCTAACCCAACAAAACAACCTCCAAATTATTTTAGGGAAAATATATCTAATAATTTTAAATTTTCTCAAAGTCTTAAATTGTTATTTTTATATATTCTTATGCCATTTATTCTAACTAATTTAATGAAGGAATCTAAATTTAATGATTTGATAATGAATGTTTATGTTTTAAGGATGGTAATTCTAAAATTTGATTATAACTTAATTTATTTTGACTTTATTATTATTATTATTATTATTATTATTATTATTATTATTATTATTATTATTATTACTATTACTATTACTATTATTCATTCTAAATATCAAGATTACTCCATGGAAATGATGGTACATCAATTACTCTTTCATCTTCAATATGTAATAATTAACCAATATTCTTTATATTAATAGTTCTAGTTTTATGTCTTCTAGAAGGACTTCTTTCAGGTTAAGTAAGATCTTTAACAGAAGATGATGCATTTTATCCTGAAGGTTCCTCTTCTTTTTCTACTGAATTAGATTATAATGTTTGAAATTAAAAAAATGTCTTCTTATCTATTGTTCTTTAAAACTTTCTTCTTATTGACACTACATCTTATGCTTTTTACTTTCTTATTAAAACCTCTAGATTTGGTTTATATTAACAAATAGTACAATCCAAAATGAAATGATTTTCTGAACAACAATAACATGATGAAATTTAATCTATTTTTTCAAACAAATATTAATCTTTCAATTTATGAAATTACTCAAAATCATAATCAGAATATTTGATTATTTTAAGAAACATTTCTCTTGATATTTTTAATACTTAACTTAAATCTTTGCTTATAGCTGTAAATTACCTATTTTATTAAGTTAAAAATTCAACTTCACCAAAACTTTATCCTTTAGTTAAAGTTGCTAAAATTTTACCTGATTAACTTTCAATTATTAATACTTCACCTTTCCAAACTGTGAATAGACTACAATCATCTAATTAACCTTATTGATAAATAATTTCTTTTGGAGTAAGAGATTAGATTTGTAAATATTAAGATATTATTGGAATAACATTCTTAGAGAAATTAGATTTATAAAAAGATATTTCTTACATTATTTTAGATTAAATATTAGTTTTTAAATCTGTAAAAATATTTTGTGGAAGTTTCTATAAAATTGAATCTAATTATTCTTTAGATGTTTCTAATTTAATTTATTCTTAATATTATAAATAATTTCTGATTCTACTTTGTACTTATTAATCTACTTAATTTTTTTACATATAATCATTAATTAATAATATTGTTCTCTTGTAATTCTATTTTTCAGCATCAATAGTACTAAAGATTTCACCAATCTAATTTATAGCAAATGCAAACATCCCTGTTGAAAATATCATAAGAATTGTTGCACATAATATCTCATGATTATTTTAGGCAGATATATCACCATAACCAACAGTAACCATTGTTGCTGTAGCCCAATAAATTGAATATAAATAAAAAGATCCAGAATCTGATAATAAAAATTAAGTTTATGTTGTCCAAGATGAATCAAAATTCTTCAAACTTTCTACACCAATATAATACCATATACAAGCCATAAAATGTGCAAAATAAAATACAGTTATTATTAATTATATTAAATCTGCAAATTATGTATAACTAGTTTTTGTTGCAAATGTTTCTTCAAATTTGTGTATTTTTCTTTTTAATTTTATGAAATTCATTATAAATTATAAAAATACAAATAGTTCAAAAAAGATTGAAATATCAATCATAATTTTATAAATAATAAACAGTTAAGTTGTAATATATAATGTGTCTTCTATTAATTCATTTACTATATAATGTTTAATAATATCGATTCTATTCATAATAAATTCTCCTTCCATAATATATCCTTAATTCAATTTAAGTAAAACATCAAAAATAAAAATATAAATTAAAATTGTTTCAATCGTTTCAAAAGAATAATTAGGTTTAAATGCTATTTTAAAAGGAAGCCACCACATAAGAAACATTAATTATAAGGCTCTAAATAAATTCCAAAATAACATTAATTATCCAGTTGGATTAAGAGTTGATAAAGTCTACTTTTGCTGAGATTTTGAAAGTATTATTTTTTATTAATTAGAAATTCTTTTATTTTCAATGTAATTTTCTTTAAGGAAGTTTTTCATTTTGTTTGACAATATTTTTGGTAATATATAGGCTTACTTTCTTAATTTATCAACAAATCTTCTAATTAAAGCTTCTTTATAAAACATTTTTGATAATCTAGGATTTTTTTGAAGTTTTTAAGGATCAATAGTTTCCTTTTTGATATTAATCAAAGCCCATTCATTATTTTTATTAAGCTGGGTGATATCAAAAAAATATATACTTTTTTAATATGAATACTTCCACGAGGATTTGCAGTCTGATGATGAAGTAGTTGAATTTCAGCAGATGGAAATTATACAGATCCAATTGATCCAGTATTATTTTTAATGGGAGCATTAGAAAAATCTGGTTTAATGTGTTATGGTCTAAAAGAATCACTTAGTTTAGGAGAAACTTTTGAAAATAAATAATAGTGTTTACATGAACACAAATCAATAGAATCATAGATTTCACGATTTTCTTGCATAATTTTAAATGGTTAATATATATAATAAATTGAAATTCAATGAAAAATTAATGATTATATTAAATGAATAGGTTTGTTGTAAATTTAAGTACTTTAGAAAAGAAGTATATATTATAAAGAGATAATATATTTGAAATTAAATAAAAAAAAATAAATATATATATATATGTATTAGATTTGAACTAAGTAATTTAGATGTCTAATTAATTAAATATAAAAAATGACCGCTCCATCCACATTTACAATTTTAAGTTTTGTAGGATTCCTCTTTTTCTCTATAGTTGGAATTGTTATATCCAACAAGTAAGTATTATGCTTATATAGTTAAATTTATGATATTACTTTGAAATTACTCTTGACAATTGTGTTAGTTGTGATAATTTATGAATTTTTCTTTAAAAATAAAAATGAGAAACCTGTTATGATAAAATCACCATATAAATAAATAAATTTTAGTGCATTTGAAAGGAATTAAGAGTTCATTTAATAGCCAGAATATCGAGGTATTTAATTAATGCAATGATTAAGGATAATAATAAGAAATAATTCATACTCAAACAGAGTCTGTAGAAAGACAAATCCCTTAAGAAAGGGAAAGAATCTTAAGTAAGGAGTAAAGAAAAAATAATATGAAAATGTGTAATATATATGATTGTTATTATTTTAGATTTTTTGTAAGACAGAGAGAATGAAGAATGGCCTATGCAATTCAAAAATGGTTCTAATAGATAATATTATGTTGATGATACTCGATCATAATATAGTATGGCTCAAACTTTGTCTTATTAATAAATTCAATCTCATGGTATAAACAGTTATAATAATAAATAATAAAATGGTACTCCAGATTATGAAATTCAATAAAAGAGTAAGAATTCAGAAGTAATATTATCTAAATTAATTAAAAAAATGAGTGATGCTCATTAAAAAGCAGAAGAATTATTTATGAAGTCATTTATTCCAACATTTGTTAAAGAATTTTAGGATCATCTTGTAAATGTGAATAGAATGATGAAAGAGCATTTTTAATAAAAAGTAATTGAAATTGATATCTTTTTTGCCAATAAACCCTATGATATAAATTCAAATAAACATGAGAAATCTATTGGACTTAAAAGTATTACAATGGAAGATGTGTTCTTTCTTAAAAATTAAATAAAAAGTAGATCAAGAGAACCAGTAAGAGCACCTGTTAATGTTGAGAAATTTGCAAAAGAAAAAGCAGAATTCATTAAGGAATGTGATCTATTGGAATTATTTTGTAATATATTAGATGTATCTCTTATTAACAGAAAAATGTTAAATGATAAAAAACTATTTTTAACTAAATTAATCGATTTTTCAGAAAATAATTGTAAACCCAAATATCTTTCTGATGGTTTAAATGAAAAAATGATTAGTGATTATGAAGTAAGATTATATTTATATAAAGTTACTCTTTACTGTTTTCATTAATGTTCTCATAAAATGTGTTAAATATGAAAAACAGAAATATAATAAAGATAATAATGAATAAAATTTAAATGCATGGAAATCTATTGAAGTTAGCTTAATTAGAATTGAGAGTTTAGGTAATAGTGAATGTATAAATTAAAATGTCTCATAAAATTTAAATGAATCATCAACTACTAATCAAGCATCAAAACAAACTGAATAAATTAAGTAAAATATATATAATTTAAGTTAGAAATCTAATTATCAATTAAAGATTGGAATAATATGTATCTGAACCTCAATTTCATTATTATAGTGATTATATAGTCAAAGCTTTAAATAAGGATAAAGAGATTAAGACATTTAAATTAGAAAATATATTATATACTCCTAGAGTAATATATATTATTTATTAAATTTAGGATTAAAATTCATTATATTGTTTAATAAGCTATTATCTTCTTCATTTGTTAAATGTTCCAAAATAACATTAGTAATAATTGTAATAGATGGAAATGGATTAAAAAATGATCAAATGCTTAATTAGAATGTCAAAAGATTTTTCATATTTAGTAGCAAATGTGTGATTTAATTATATTAATTTTAATTTTAAGATATGTATAAATCAATAATTAGTGATCATTTTCAAAAAATAAAAGAAGCAATAGTAGCATTTATTATGGAGATATCTGGTGTTGAGTTTATACACTTTATTAATATGTTAAACTATACGCTTTAATTAATGTTTGAATCGTCATTTGTTAATAAAATAGATATTATTACAATAGTAACTTAAAAATGCATTATTACCATAATATTGAAACTACTTTATATCTAATTATTTGATAAATCTTAATTTAAGTATGAAAAAGCTACTTAAAAGTAGTAAGTGTAATAAGTTGTATATAAGTATTAGCATCTATAATTGGATTATTTTTATTGAAAACTTTCTTTTTTGGGTAAGTAAACATAACCAGATGGATAAATGTAGCATATAATCCAATATCAACAATGAGAATTGAATATAAAGATTATGATAAAGTATTGATTTCATTAATTGTAATGCTTCCACTCCTTTTATTTACTGGAAACATTTAGTATCAACTTATTTGTCTCTTTTAACCATTAAGTTAAGTATTTATATAGATTATAAAATATTTGATGAACGATGAAATTGAATAATTTTAATTAGTATTATATACGAATCTCATAGGATTGCCCATTTACATTATGTTAAGTTTGTTTAATGGAAATGTATAAAATATCTTTGATATGACATATTTTTTGTAATTATATTTATCTATTTAGCGATATTCTAACAATGTGTATTTCTTAAATGCTTGTTTATTTGGCTTTTGATGAATTAAAAAATTAATATTCATCTTATCTGTACAATTGGACTCTCTTTGGTTGTATAATTATGCTATCGATGGTTTTTATGTATAGAGAAGATGAAGTTATTTTGATATTTTTACCATTATTAGTGATATTAATAATGTTTGCATCAATAAGTATACAGAGATAGACTTGAATATAATTATTATATTAATAATAATATGTTTTCATTATCGCTTCAATTTCATTTTACATAATGTCATATTAATTAAAACAATTTACATGGAAAAATTCCCTTAATTATGTAAATTATTCATTTATAAGAGATTTCTCGATCTTCTCACCTATAATTAGGAGAATATACCCAAAAAATAATGGAAATACTAATAATCTTTATTCAAGAATAAAACATCATAGACATAAATAATTGAATTTATCTCTACCTCATTAAATAAGAATTCCAACTCTCGAACAAGATAATCATTATTTTTTAGAATAGAATGAAAAAAATATCAAAAGTTACCTCTAACCATTAAGAAATGCTGTTGCTAAAATTACAGAATAGAGATAAGAATAATAATATAGACGTAAATCAACTTATGGATAATTATTTGGTGAACTAACTAAAAAAGAAATGTGTAATCTTCCTACAATAGTAGAATAACATAAATAATTTAACAAAAAGGAATTAGCCTTAACAAGTTTCGCATTGATGCTAGAAAGAAAATAACGAAAAAAAACAACTAGAAAACTTTCTAAAAAATTATCAAAATAAGAATCTATTATTGGTAATTAACAATATCTAATTAATTAGAATTTGATAATATGGAAAGACCTCCTTCTTGCATCACTCCTCCTAAAATGGTTTTAACACCAAAACCTCAGTTAAAATCAAAAAATTAATTGAAAAAAGAAAAATATTTAAAAGACTAAGATTTTAAAATTGGGCACTTTCTAACAGGTAGATTGTAACAAAACAAAAAATCATAACCAGAACTCAATAATAAAATTCGATACCATTGTCAAACACAATCCTGTGCATCTCTACCTAATGGATAACTTAGTTCTTTTGCATCATCTCCTAAAGTTTTGACAACTATTAAATCAAATACTTTGGCTATTATCTAAGATTTCAAACTTATATCAAAAAAATCAACTATACGACCATATGTAAAACACAATACATTGTTATTAAAATAAATTTAGTAGACATTTGAATTGAAACCATTAAATAGATTAAATAAACATTCGATTAAAAATACTAAAACTATGTTTGAAAGCAATTAAAATATATATTGAGAGCATTTCATTTAATTATTTTATTTCATTATTCTTATTCATCCCAAAGAGGGTTTTCTAATAAATTTAAAATTATTTGTATCTTTTGATCTACAAGATAGAATCTAATGAATGGAATGAGGAATATTTGATCTTAATCTATCAGTTAATATAGGTTTCTCATTTTTATATTTTTAATTCAGATCTATTATAAATTTCATAATTCATACTAGGTTTATATTCCATAAAATTATTTGCTATAAGTGTTCTTGTCTATTCCAACTTTAGGAATATGTTTTCTTTTGATAATTTCTTTTCAAATTCCTTTATTAAATTAGATTATGTCTTTGTTTTCTTAAATATAGTACTCTCTGTCTAATTTTAATTACAAATTTTCTAAATTACTACTCCTTATAACCAAGGATGATTTAATGCTTCTTAAGGTTTCAATCTATATTAAGGATCCCAAGTAAAACACTTAGATAAAAAATCAACAAAATCATCATCTGTAGTTTTTAATAAATCATGTAATTTGACTGAATTTGGATTTCTATAATTTTTAATTGTTTTTTTAGGATGTCCATATTCATCAAAAAAATGTTTTTTTCTAGGACATTTTTAGACAAATTCAATAGAAGGTTCTCCTATTAGTTCCATAATTAAATGAAATTATTCAACTTCATTTTCACCAGGAAATATAGGTTATCCAGAATGTATTTCTGCAATTAAACAACCAAAACTCCACATATCAATTTCCATTCCATATTTTAATCCAAAAATAACTTCAGGTGCTCTATAATATCTATAATAATTATAGGAATAATTTACCTGCTTTATATATATGTATAGACTTGATTTCCATTTATACAACCAGAACCAAAATCAACTAATTTAATTATTTTTTATTTCATATCTTAAATCATTACATTTTCAGGTTTCAAATCACAATGAATGATATTTAATTTTTATAGATAATTTAAAGCAACTAAAATTTATTATGCAAATTATCTTAAAGTTTCATAATCAAATCCTCTAAATTTTTATTATTTTAAGATTTCAAAGATATTTTTTTCCATTTTTTCTAAAACTATACATTAATGACCACGAAATATAAACTAATCTTCTATTCTTACAATATTAGATTAATTTAATTAATCTTATTCTTTTATTATTTATAATAGATTTGCTTCAATTTATGCTTACTTTTTTAATTTTTCTTAATTTCTGATTATTTTAAGAGCAAGAGTTCTTTAAGTTTTATGATCAAAAACTTAAAACACTTAACCAAAACTACCTTATCCAATAAGACTAATAATTTCATATTAATATCTTATATGATCTTATGCATAACATAAATATTATCCATTAACACCATCATCTGAAATTTTAGATTTCTTATAATAATATACTTATTTTAATTCTGTTATTTCTTGGATTTCACTTTAAGTAAGATTATACAACTTAATAAATTAATCTACTAAAAGAGGAAATTTAGACATTATTGAAATAGATTTATTCTCTTTTTCTTTATTTACTTTACTTTTGAAATTTGAAATGATATTTTATATTGTATTGATATTTTTACTCTTATTTGAATGAAAAGGTTAAATATGCTTTAATTTATTTTCAGATAATAATCTGTCAGTATTAGGACTTGTAGGACTTGTTTCAATTTTACGTTTTGTCGAAAGAGGATAAGCACTTGATACAATTTATTTAATAGCAGACATATCCAAATGAACAGATAACATTTTACGATCAGCCAATTTCATCAACAAATCTGTTAAATTATTTATATTATGAACTTATAAAAATTAATTATTATAATAATAATAATAAAGTTTTTCAGTTTCATATATATAAAAATTAATATTGCTCCAAATAAACTTATATACAATAATTATAATAATTAAATAACTTTACATAAATTCAATAATTATGAGACTGAGTTTATTATTTATCTCTACTTAAACAACCAAATGCTGAAAATACTTTATCCATAAAACCAGGTTCTTCTTATCTTTATGGTTATCCTTAAATTTCCTTTAATCCTTAAACCATCTATTATCTTTAAGAAAGTCTACTAACTCTAGCCTTAAATTCTTCCTCTTAATTATAATTTGATGCAGCAGTTGATTTTCCATTATTATTGTTGTTATTATATTGAGAAACTTAATTTGAAGATTTTGATAAAGGTTTCAAATCAGAGTTACTATTTTAACTGGGTCCTTTAACAAATGATCTTGTTATGATATCTTCATTTTATGGAGATATAGATCGATTTGATGAATCATTGTGTTTATCTTCCTTACACATATAAGATCTGAGATCAATTCCATAACTTTTATAGAATTTCTTCATCCAAGGATGTTCAAATATCTAATTCATTGATAATCTCTCATTAGGATTATATTTGAGTATTCCTTATATTAATTATTTAGCATCAAAAGATAATGATGGATCATAATCAATTGGAGTCATCTTTACAATATTATTACATTTTTCATTTTCAGTTTTCCCTTTGAATGGAGCAAAACCATGAATTAATTCAAACAATAATATACCTAAACACCAAATATCTAAAGTGAAACTATAAGGTTGATTAGTCAACATTTCTGGAGCCATATAATCTAAAGTACCACAAAAGGTTCTTCTTACTCCATTTTAAGTTGTTTCAGCTGACCAACCAAAATCACAAACTTTGATATTTCCTTATTTATCTAATAGTAGATTTTCTGGTTTTAGATCTCTATGTATTATATTTTTCTTATGTAAATAGTCTATTCCTAAACAAGTTTAAAAGAAGTAGACAAAAGCTTCATTTTCTGGAAGTCTTCTTCTTTTTCTTATGTAACTAAATAAACTTCCATTGTCTTAAATATATAGTAATTTATAATACCTGCTAATTCTAATATAAGAAATACATTTTCTTTGTCTTCAAAATAATGAAATAGTTTAGTTATATGTGGATGTTATAATCTTCTTTAAATTTTAATTTCTCTCTTAAGATTTTCAACAGAACAATACTCAAATATTTATTTTTTGTTCATCTATCATCTATATTAAATATTACCACTTTCATTGCATACATTTAACCATTTTATTTATCTTTGACCAATTTGACACAACCATAACTACCTTTTCCCAATTCCATTTTATTATCTTTGATTATTATTTCAAAGTCTTCTGGTTATCTGCGAATAGATTTCAAAGTGGATGCAGAGTCATTAAGTTCAGTTTGAAACTTTCCTTTGATTGGACGACAATTATTCTTATGAGATAAAGCCCTATTCAATAATGAAATTGAAATATACCAATCAGTGTCTCTGCATTTTTAGGAGCAATATTTGATATTCTAACAATAAGAACAAGAGTATATGGCATTACTAGTAGTAGTATTGATACAATATTTATATGAGCAGCCTTAATTCATTTAATAAAATATAATAACGCATTTAATTTATATCAATTTATGCAAAACTTTCCCATTGAAGCTAACTTCGATTTAGTATAAGCTGGAGTAGGCAAATCATTTAGATTCATTCCCAATTGTTTTAGTATATAAGGATTCTGTATTTGATTTGGATTAGGATTAGTAAGTGGATTATATTATTAATTTTGATCAGAAACAACACTTTTAGCAGGTGTTGATATCTAATATCTATTAAATATTCATACATTATTTTGTCTATCAGAATTATACCAATAAACAGAATTACCCTGTTAATAGCCATATGATTTGGCATCATGTCTATTCTGTCTTCTCTTTTATTATTATTCTTGTAATTAAATTGATAATATTGAATTATATTTCTCCTTAGATACATCTTCTAATTCTTTTTAATATCTGTATTATTTCTCATCTTACTATTACTTTTGTTCTACATTCTTTAAGATAATATCATCTAATCCTTATTTAGGATCTCTATAATTTTCCAAATACATAGCCTATAATTATTGTTATCTATTTTAGACATTTTGATAATACTTTTAATATATAACAAATTAAGTACTTATTTATAATTATCTAACTTCTTTTATATTTTTGTATTCTCTTAATGAACTTATTCTTAATAAATTGCCTAATCAAATTTTTTATAATTTTATTCATTTAACTTTTTTATCTACACTTGACCATATTATTAATCTTACACCTTTCTATAATAATCTTTTTTTTATTTTTCATAGAATTCAGCCATTGTTTATCCTTATTTTGCAGTATCAACAATCTATTATTCAATTTATTATCTTTCTTATCTCTATCAATATAGATAACATTACTAGCTATTCTTGGATGATTCTTTAATTAGTTAGTGAATTTTCATACCATTTTGATAAATCCTTCTTTATAAATTATTTGTTTTGTCCTTCCATAAGATTACGCATTTCTTTTTCTTTCCTCAAATTCTCTAAGTATAACAGTTCCTCTCTTTATTTTTGTGTTGTTAGAGATCTCTTTCTTTTCTCCATTTCCAACTGTTGATCATATAGTTACTATTTAAGAAGTCCCTATTACACTAATCTAAAATCTCTTGCTTGATCATGCAATTAACGATTTACATCAAATTCTTTATAATCATCATATTTTATAGGCAAAATCATATTTTAATAATAAAAATTTTTAGTTCTTTATAATAATGAATTAAGGATCATCTTCATTTAGGAACAATTAAGATTAATAAATGCGAGATGTTTTATAATTGAATCAAAAGCATCAATAACGAAATTACAATAATGATATTGCAATGATTCAGGCAGCAAAAGATGCAATTGTATTATTCATTAATTATTTAAGTATAGACTTAAAGTGTACATATGAGTAATCTATTAAAAGACAGAAAAGATTAATATGATATTGTATTAACTTAGCGTAAGTACATATGGAAACAAGAAGAATAACTTTATAATGAAATAGATCAACTTAGAGATACTCATAGAAGATATTAAGAGAGTATAAATCGTTATGGAATTAGAAATAACAATTTAGAGACAGAAATACAAAGTAAATTTGAATAAGTAAATACAAAACTTAATTTCATTTAAGAAGAGAAAAAACAAGTCTTAAATAATTTTAATCTAATTTAATAATCTTTAGTGAATAGTAAATCTAAATTATCTAGTAATGGTTAATTTGTTATTGAAAGCAATTAATAATATGACAAATTAGTAGATTTTATACATAAATAAGAAGAGAAGGTTAAATTGTTAAAGAATGATCAAACTAATTTAGCTATTAATTAAATTATACCATTTGATTCCAAACTCTAATAAAGTATGCATTTCAAATAATTTTTATTCAGTGGCTTAAGATACATATGAAAAACAGCAAAAATATGTTTATTAAGGAACAAAGTTTTAAGGAAATGAATTACAAAAAATAGCAGCATTTAGCACTTTGAGAAAGAAGATTGAATAACATATATAGAAAAAAGGATTCTAAGATGTAATTTTAGATTTGCCATTCAAATTAGATGAAAAATATTAAAAAGAAAATACTAAAACAATAGAATATGATTCTACTTTATAAGAACTTGATGAATTTAGAAAAGAGTATATTGCATAAGGAGGAAATGATCCAAAATTTCTATAAGAAATTAATGAATTGGAGAGATAATATAAGGAGAGTCATCCTTTAGGAATATTTGATTCATATAATAAAATGAATCACACAAAATTACACAATTCAGATTAAGTATCTTAAAATCCAATATTCTCATATTTACCTTAATAATATCAGAAGGATATTTTAGATTTGGAATATAAACTAAAAGAATAAAAAGAACCAGATCTAAAGAATCCTTAAATGAATAAATAATTACTTAGATCTAAATTAAATGTAAGTGATTCAAGTAAAGTTGATGAAATAATATTGGAAAATCTTAGATTTTAAGAAAGTGAATTATTATTGAAATCTAAAAATAATGAATATTACAAATTGAAATATAATGAAATATAGAAATTAAAATAAATTCATGAACGTAATTATTTAGAAAAGAAAGTTTAAGAATAATAAGCTTTAAGGTAGATTGAAGATGATATGTTAAATTTTAAAGAGAAAGGAAAAACAAATTTAACATATTTATAATAGTTATAATAAGGTATTGGTACAAGACCTTTATTTTATGATTAAGATTCTGGATTTGTAATAAGAATAGATTTTGTTAATAAATTACCTATCTGTTATGATTATGTTAAAATAGGTTATGGTATATTTATAAAAAAGTATTGATTATTTTCAAATATTTGATAGTATTGATGAACCAAAGACAATAATGAATACGAATTAACATGAATGTGCTAATGAGAATATATATTCTAAGAAATGTGTAATTTAAGAGAGATTTGTAGAAAGAAATCATGAAATCTTTAGAGATACATATCTTTATATTGTATTATGGTGTTTTAGTTAAGATTTTGGTAGTGGTATGGTACCTATATAAGTTGGTTGGTCAATACATAAATTATTTGATGATGAAAAATTAATATCAGGAGGATACTTATTACCTGTATATAATTCTAATTTTACATTTGAACTTCAAAGATTACCTGAAGTATAAGAAATTAAAATAGGTATAAGGATATGTTTAGTAGATGATGAAAATTTAGATTTGGATAATAAAATAATGAGTTTAATGGATTATAAAATATAAACAATTCATTTGAAATAATCAGAATTAATTGATTAAGAAAGATAAAATATATTTAAAGAATATAAAATTATTCCACTTCCTGAAGAATATTTATTAGTAAGAACAAATGAAACAAAATTATGGTAATCTGAACTTCCACCTAATGTTTATAAATTGATTGATTATAATTTTATGAATGAAGAAGAAGTAGCTTTAAAATAATAAGAATTAGAATATGAAGAAAGAAGAATGAATAGATTAAATCGTCCAAAAAGAAGATTTATGGGAAAATAAGGTACAATAGCAAGAGGTTCTTCTGAAAGAAAGAAAACTACACTTACATTTAAATAAAGATTAGCTTTAAAAAAAGGAGCAGCTACACCAGGAACTACAAAAGCTAAATCTTCAGAAAAAGAATAAACTTCAAAACCATAATCAAGACCATAAAGTAAAGCAGATACTTCTAGAAAAAAAGTAGATGAAGTTAAATCTACTACTAGAGTATAGGAAAAAGAGAAAAGTGCTTTGATTCCACTTAAACCAAGAAAATTAATGTTTAAATTAAGATCATTATCTTAAATTTATGTAGGAGGTATTACAACATTAACATTGAAGTTAGCATTATTTTAAGGTATTTAATTATTAGATGATGATGATAAAAATATGTGTGTATTTAGTAAAGAATTAGATCCTGATGAAAAAGGTGATAATTATATAAATTTTAATGAATCATTTACATTTGAATTAAATTTAACTCAATATTTTGAAGATTATGAAGAAGCTGAAATTTTGAATACTTATTTATTTATAGCAATATTTAAAGAAGTAACTAATTTATTTGGTTGGCATGCAATTTAAGCTTTTGATACTTCAGATGAATAATTCAAAGTAAAAAGTGGTATTTATTATGAAAATTTATTTGGACCACCAGGATAAGCTCCACCTTTCAATTTTAATAAAGCTAAACGATTAAATACTTAAATTAATTTTATTATGATGTAAGATGATGATCGTGTATTACAATTACCAACTATTGATAATTATAAACTTGATTAAAAATGTAAAATATTAATTATTTATAAATTTAGTATTGACTGAAGAAGATAAAGAAAAAAGAAAGAAAATATATTCAGTTGCTAATCCTAAATGGAATACTTAAATACGTTTAGATATATCATCATTAAGAAACTTTTAATCCAAAGATGAATTTATAATGAAAACTATTGTAATTGAAGAAGAAAATATTATAATAGATGCAATAGATAGATAATGTATAAAATTTGATCATGTTTAATTATTTGAAGGTACAGGTAAAGGTGAATTTATTGCTAATCATTAAATAATATTGAGAATTGGTACTAGATATTTAATTGATACATTTACAACTACTTTTAAAAAGTTAAATTATTTATTTAGTTTCTTTATTAAATAATAAATTGTAGGAGTGTGTAAATTTCCACTCTTTTCTGCAGGAGGTGCATTAAATGTTGGATCATAAAGATTAATGGTACATGATCTTGATGAAGGTGGAAATATTGGAAAGAAAACAACTAAAGAAATGTATATTTTTATATAAGAAGAATAATTAAATTTAAAGGATATTGAAGAAACTCCAAAATATGCATAATAAACAAAAGAATAAAAAATTGTTAATAAATAAGATTAGAGTAAATATTTAATTATTGAAATTGATCAATTAACAGATTATTTAAGTTAAGAACCTATTGATTTTACTATTTAGGTATATAATGGAGAAGAACCAGCAATTGATTCAGATGGTGTTATTTGTGCTTACACAAGTCTTAATCCTTATTAACCTAAGCCAAATTATTCAGTTCCAATTAATGAAGCAGTTTATTTTAAGATGCCAATTAATGCAATAATCGAAAGAAAATAGGGATTGGAAAATTATTAAGTTTTTATATCCTTTTCAGATTTAGGATGGATAAGTTTTTAATTATTTTTAAATGGAGAATTAAATAGTTCAGATTTTGTAGGTAAATTATTTAGAGGAGAAGTACCTGCTCCACCTGTTGATTATACAAATATGAAGAAAATTAATACAAAAGTTTCATATTATGTTAAATATGATTTAAAATAAACTGAAGAATTTAGAAACAGTTTAATTGAAGATAGTCGATCAGGAGTTATGAAAAGTGAAGCTTAAAAAAACTAATAATCATTACCAAGTGAATAAGCTGCAAAAATTGCTTCAAGAAGAACTATGAATTCTAATGATAATTTAGATAAATTATCAATAATGTTGATAAATGTTAATGGATTCTAAAATAAATCAAAACTTTAAGTAAAAGGAATTCTTATGATGGATGGAAAAACGTTATTAGATAAATATAATATATCTTGTTCCTTTAAAAGTGAAATGGTAGATAATGTAAATAAAGTGGCATTCTTTAATAATGCTCGTTTTACATTTTCAGTGGATATACCTTCTTTATAAATGGAAACTTATTTATTTTTATCAATTTTAGATGAAAAAGAGGCTGTAATTGCATGGTTTGGAAAGAGATTGGTATAAGCAGTTGGAAAAGTAAATAGAGGACAACAATTTGAATATCTTTTTTCACCTCCTTTGATGAGACCACCATTAGATCATTCAAAAATATAAAATTTATAATAATCAATTCAATTTGAAGTGAAATGAATATAATGATACATCACTATTAATTAATGTTATATTGGATTTTTATATTAATCTCAATTGTAGCAGTATATCTGATAGTGAATCCTTTAATCACTATGATCAGACTTAAAATGAAGTTTGGGAATGCTGTTTATTGCAAATATTTACCTATTTTTGGTATAATATAGGTTTATAGAAAATCATTTAAACTTACAGGTAATGTACATTAATGGGTTGTTGATATTGTAACTAAACATCCAGAAGTTAAGTTTGTTGTGGCTAACTCTATTAATAAACCTATAATAATAATAATAGATTCTGAATATTACAAACATATATATCAAGATCATCATCTTGTGACCAAACATGATTAAAGTGGAATTAAAGAGTATAATATTCATTATAATAAATAGCTTTCTACTTTCAGGAGGATTATTATTTACAGAAGGACCTAAATGGAAATAATAAAGAAATTTATTAGGTGACCATTTTCTTTTTTAAAAATTGAAAGCAAGAATTCCTATGATAAATTTAGTGACTAAAGAGAAGATTAATGAGATGGTAAATGTTGAAAAAGTATTTGAATTCATTTGTTCAATAACAGGAGAAGTTGTAATTAGAAGTTTCTTTGGTGAAGAAGCAGAAGGATGGAAAATCAATGGAAAAGAAGCTTAAATTGAATTGGGATCAATTTTAGCATCATTCATAAAATTAAGAGTAACTAATTTCTTTGTCTATTTTAAACAAAAACTTTTAGGAGTTAAATCTTGGCAATATTGTACAAAAAAAGAAAAAGAACTTTTGGCTAGAGTAATTAAATTAAAAAAAGACATAAAAGAAGTTATATTTAAAAGAAGAGATAAGATTAAATAACAAGGTCATAAGTAAGAAGGAGGAGACTTTTTAGATTTGTACTTAAAAATATTTATGGAATAAAATGTATATAGTTCTGATAGAATTGAAACTGATGAAATTGTTTCCTAATTTATAACTCTTTTTTTAGCTGGTACTGATACAACTGGAGCCTTAGTTGCTAATTCATTATTATTTATCTCTGAAAATAAACAATATTTATAAGAATTAAGAAATGAAGTCAACAATGTAATTGGAAATGGAGATATCACTTCTGAAAATATTAATCAATTAGTTTTCATAGAAAGTTTTTTAAAAGAAGTTTTGAGACTAAAGCCATCAGTAGTATATCCAATAGCTAGAAAGGCCATATCCAACATTTAAATTAAAGATCTTTATATTAAAAAAGGAACTATTCTACTTTTGGGTAATTTCTTAGCCAATATCAGTACTCATAATTATGATAACCCACTTGAATTCAATCCAAAAAGATGGTTATAATAAAAAACAATTAAATAAGATAATGGTTTCATTAATATTCCATTTGCTGCTGGACCAAGAAATTGCATAGGTTAACATATGGCTATGATTGAAGCTAGAATTATTTTAGCTCATATTGTTAGGAATTATGATATTATTAGAAATTCATAAGTTCCAAAAGCTCAATGGCCAGCAAGGGGAACATAAACTTATATACCAGATAATGTTGTTCATCTTGTTAAAATATGACATTTACAATATCATAATCAATAATATTATTTTTTTTTTCTTCAAATTAATATATGACTCTATAATAACAAAAAGATTTATAATTCCAACTAGAATGATGTTCAATTTTATATGAGGATGTTCTATTAAGTAATTAATCAATAAAACTTAAACATTTAACGATTCTTTTTTCCAAATTAAAAAAACAATTTCAGTTTATTGACATTTTATTATATGTATATATATATATATATATTTAAAAAACAGTTTTAAAGCAAGTAAATCTATATTAAGATTGAAGTTTATTTTAAGAATTTGAGATATAGAATATGATATATAATTAGACTCAAAATCAAGTTTAAAATTATTGCATCATATCAATTAGGAGAATCCACATTGACCACATTTTTATTAGTAAAAGTAATTCTAACATTAACAAAATGAGCATTTCTTTAAAAAGGAAAAGGATTTATTCAAATTTTCAGTTTTTTTTGATAAGTCTTCAAGAAATAATGCTTATGAAAAAACAACATCTTCATCATCATTACTTTCTACTGAGCTATGACTACTTCCTCCTAAGTCCTATTATTAAAGTTTAATAGTTTCGAATATTTATAGCCCTTAATCAATTTTATTTGGAATAAATTTTGTTCCAGGAGCATCTCTTGTAGATTATTGACATCTGTTACAAAATTTTCGAAATGAATAATTTAAGTTTCTGCATTCAGAACATATCCAATCACAAGGTTTGCTTTACATTTTTTTTAAGTAATTGAGCAATTTTATTTAATTTTATTATACAACTTTCCTTTTATAATAAAATTATATAATAATGCAAACCTTAATGAAAAAACCGACGTTAGAATCAATTTATATCAAACTCTATCTTTACATATTCTTTACAGTTATAATATAATAGTCAATAAACTTGGTAGAATTAAGTAAATAATGAATACATCTTGTTTAAATTATAATGAATATATTTTGAAAATACAAAAATAAGAATTGTTTTGTAAATTAGAAATTTTCATTTTTATTGATATTTTATTGAATATTAATTTTAAACAGATATATATAATTATGAACATGAATCTTGTATTCAATTTACATGAATAATATGATTATAAACAACATTTAAATTTCCTTAACTAATTTCATTTATTTTAATATATAAAAAAATACTAATTCAAATATAATTAATATAAATTTTTGATATTAGATAATTCGATATGTATATTAAACATCAAGACATAATTTGTATTAGAGCAATACTGATCTAAAAGGATTATAAATGATTTATCGGTGTTGTATATAGTACCTCATATGAGTTTTCATCTGTTTTTTGTATTTTTATTAAGAAATGATCAGATGTTAGTTCTTTTTTATAAAAAATGGACCATAAGTTTTCTTTTTAAAATTTAAAGATGTTGTAAAATTCAAAGAATTAATTATTTTACTAAATAATCTCTTTGTTTTTCTTAAAATAAACAGGAGAATATGTATAAATTTAATTATTTTATTAATTTATTTTTGGTATGTGACACTAAACTATAAATATAATATTACTTTTAATTCATTGTTTTTGCAGATACTTCCTAAATATTTTCTGTAATATGATTAATTTGTACATTTTTTTGGACTCATTCCACCATCTTAAAAAACAAAAAGCTTTCCACTTTCAAGTATTTTTATTTTACCTACTAAAGCCTTACTCTCTGATTATATAATATATTTCTAATGTAATAAACCATTTTTAGTAGCTTCCATCAACAATAGGTCAAAAATATAGAATTAATAAGAATTACCAATCTTTTTTATTTATGCAGGCATGATTCTACCTAAATTAATATATTATAAACTTCTTAGATTATATTGGTTATTATATAAAGTCTACTTTATTAAATGGAATTCTAATGGATTATACAGAAATGATTTCATTTTAATTATCTAAATTGTTTTCAGTATTGATTCCTTAAAATCTTTGGTATAAACTCTGACTTTAATCAACACTGTTTAATGATATATCCATTGCTTAGCTAAACTAGTTGAGATCACTTTGACTTTAAGATATCATAAGATAAAATAATAATTAATTAGAAAATTAAAACTAATTTTGGGTCATATGCAACCCAAACTTTTCATTTTTTTTATTTCATCATAATATTATCAATTTTTATTTGCATGAACTTCTTTCTCTGAATAAATTTGGTCAAAATTGATTGATTTTACTTTATGATTAATTTATTTTAAGTTTTAAATATATAAGAAGAAAAATTAATGATAAATTAAATTTATCGATTCTCTAAAACTATATTATATAAAAGGCTACTTTTTATTTGCAATGTCAAGAGATAAATAATTGTAATAAATGTCTACTTATATTGAATTTTCAACGATATTTTTAGTATTACAATTATTTATGAAAGTACTCAAATATTGCTATAAGTTGGAACTTATAAGATGTTTTTGAATTACATTTTCTAGATCTATTTCATATATCATCCAGATATTACTTATTTTGATGGGATAATTCTTTAAATATCAAGGAAAACAATGCTAATTTAAAATTATCAAATAAATTCAATTATTGATATATCCTATGATTATATTAATTCTAATAAGGATATTAAGTTTTTTACACTTATGATTTAAGACTTTTTATCAATATTTTTCAATAACTTTGCCTAATTGTTGTAAGCATCATCTAAGTATGAAATATTCTATATAGTAAATTGAATAAAACTTATAAATATTATGCTTCACTTTTTGATCTAGGTTTTTCTTTCCTATGATTAAAGATTAATTTACAATTTTCATTTTTAATTTAATACAAATAATATTTATATTCTATACATTTATGGATTGTAAGATTAATGATTAGATATCATTGAAAATGAATATTAAAAAAGTTAGAAGATTCACATATGATAAAGGAGAACATATAAATAATTATTGCTGTTTTGCAGAGCATAAACAATCAAAGTGATTTTCAATAATAAAATCACCATTCTCTAAATGGATCATCATTTTATTTGATTGGATCTGGTAATTCGGTACTATCTGGATAAACAGCAAAATTGGAAGTATCATCATCAGATCTAGTAATAAATAAAAGATTTACCTAACTGATGGAATATATTTAGGTCTAATTTATTTCTTAATCAAATTATCCCAATTCAATGTTTGATACCATTTATGTTATTTAATATCATTGGCTCCATTTTTTAAATTTCCTAATCTTTTTGATACATCAGAAACTAAAAGATTTTTAATTAATTCTTTAGCATCATTATCAAAATTTTTAGGAAATTTAACTTTTCCTTTTAATATTTTTTAATAAATAGCCATTGGATCTTCATCATTAAATGGATCAATTCCTAAATCTATTAATGAATATAATTACCAGCCAACATCTCATAAATTATAATTCCTAAGCACCACCAATCAACTGGTCTTCCATGTCCTTTATTAAGAAGAATTTCAGGTGCAAGATATTCAGGTGTTCCACATAGAGTATATGTATGATCTTCAACTACTTTAGCAAATCCAAAATCAGTCAATTTTAAATAACCATTTTATTAGATAAGTAGATTTTCTGGTTTTAGATCTCTGTATACAATGGTCTTTGAATGTAAATACTCAAACATTAAAACAATTTAAGCAGAGTAAAATCTATATTATATTAAATAATATACTATGCTTCATCATTTTCTATTGTGCCTGCATTTCTTAAATAAGTAAACAACTCTCCACCTTGAATATACTCTAGAACAAAATATAAATATCTTTCATCTTAAGTGTAACCTAACAATTCAATCTAAATAATTAAATATAGATATACAATAAAAGGATGCTAAATCTAATGAAGTATTTTGAATTCAGAACTAATATGATCAACTTATTTTAATCGAAGAATTTCACATTTCTTTAACATCTTTAAAGCAACATTCTTTTAATTTGATTTCTATTTTGCTAATCTTACTCTGCCAAATGAACCAGTACCAAGAGTTTAGAGTATCTCAAAGTCTTGGAGTTTCACTTACTTATTCTGCATTTATTTTGATAATTAAAAATAAATAATGTCATTAGAAAAAAGATAATTGTCAAGTTCAAAACTTAAATTTGATGCTGATTATTTTTTAAATATTATTGAACAGCAAGAAAAGAAGAGACCTGGATCTTGTTAACCTTATTCATCTCTTACTTATCAATCAACTCCTAGAAAACCATTCTATTATGGGAAATTGATAAGCTCAGAAATTGTAAATCATCAACATCATACAAAAAAATCAAACAATAGTGAATAGAAAAAATAATTAATTCCATCAGTTACTTAATCTTCATCATTAGGTGTTGTAAGAATATTTTATTATCAATTTTAAAGGTGATTCCACTTAAAACTTATAAATCTTAATTATAATTTGATAAATAAATTATATTGACTAAATAGAACTCATCTTCTCAAAATTTAATTAAAAGTTCCTTAATACCTAATCTAATATCAAAAGGAGAGAAAACATAAATTTAAAAATTGATAGAAAAACAAAGCATTTTAACAAGTTCTGGAAAATATGATAAATAATTTACATAGAATAATTAGATAGAACGTATTGTAATTTTAAATGTAAATATTCTAATAAAGCCAGAAAAGTAGGCAAATACCATACGAAAAATAAAAGTAAGTACCATTAAAATAATATTATCAAAATTCATTTGATTAAAAGAGACCAATCATCTAATAAATGTAATCTAATATTATAATTTCTCAAAAAAAACACATAATCTAACCACAATAGATAGAAAAAAAGTAAGAAACATTTAATACTAAATAATTGATCTCTTAGTTCTAAGAGAATCAATCTTAAGGTTTTAATGATTTTCCAATGAATTCTGAAAGAAGAAATCTTTAATAAATCTTTTCATCAATATAATTACAATTAAAGGAAGCCGCATTATAAGCTAAATAAAATTAATTTTATCTGAGAGGTAAATATTCTATTAAATCCTTCATTAGAAATACAAGAATAACCTGATGATGCAAATCCTTCACTTAATTAAATTATTTTATATTAATTTTAAAAGTGATTATAAAATTACTAAAATGAGTTTATATTTGAATTCTTTTTTAAATTGGTTTGTATTATTTTTTATGTCGAATCTTTATACTTACTTTATAATTACAATAATATATAAAAAATCAACCAAATATTTATAATTTTAAGATTATTATTATTATTAATCATAATTTATATGACTGATTCCTCCTCAGAATATGATAGCATTAATGAAGGCTAATATGAAGCTAAAATAGGGGAGAAATTAAAAAACAATCAATATCAAATAATAAAATGGTTAGGTGATGGAACATTTTCAAAAGTGTGGCTAGTGAAAGATTTAATTTCTTTGTCTCATTATGCTCTCAAGATTTAAAGTTCATAATATTCAGATGCAGCCATAGAAGAAATAGATATATTAAAGTATTATATGATTATAAAGTAGAATTTTGAATGAAAATGAAAATTCATCTAAATGGCTTGATATTCAAAAAAATAATATTGGTAATTAATAATAAACACATTGTGTAAAAATGGTTGATTCTTTTGTTCATATTGTTAATGAAACCTTGCATCATTGTGTAGTAATGGAAATTTTGGGACCTACTTTATTGGATCTAATTAGATTTTATGAAAAGAAAGTATATGATGTTATGATGATTAGAATTCTAGTATGAGTATTTAATTAGGAAAAGAAGTAACTAAATAAATATTGATTGGATTGATTTATTCTCATGATGTATGCTAAATTATTCATACTGACATAAAACCAGAAAACATTATGATTGAATTAAATGAACAATAATTAAAGTAGTTAATTAATGATGATGAGGCTGATGATAAGAAAAAAAAGTAATAAGAGAAAATATTTAGAGAGTTAAATTAAATAATATTAATATTGGTGATATTTTTATTTGGAAAGAGAATGTATTAATTAATGTAAACACTGAACTTAAATTTAAATTAGTTGATTTTGGAAATGCTTGTCAAACTAATTAATAATTTGAAGAAATTTAAACTAAAGAATATAAATCTCCTGAATCTATTATATAAGCTTAATATTCAACAAATACAGATATTTGGTCATTAGCATGTGTAACATTTGAAATATTGACAAATGATTATTTATTTAATCCTGAAGGAGAAGATGAAGAAGAAGAAATGGATGATCTATTAGCAATGATGATAGAATTGATAGGACCTCCAAAATCAACTTTCTTAAGTAAAGGTAAAAGAAGTTCATAGTATTTTGAAAAAAATGGAGATTTAAAAAGAATTAAAGTATATTATTATTATTTTAATAAGGAATTACAAAAATTCACACTAAGTAATACATTAATTAAAGATTATGATTTTGAAGAAAATGAAGCAAAAAATCTAGAAGATTTCATTCTATTTGCCTTAAAATGGGATCCTCTTGATAGACCTTCCTCATTAAATATGTTCATGCATCCTTGGCTTAAATAATGAAATAATTTTAACAATACAAAAATAAATTAATTCTTTTTAATATAATAATTATTATTAGGTAAGTATTTAATCTTTATTATATTACAAACTTTAAATCTAAAATATTTTTGTTTTAATAATAAAAATATAGTAATAGATAAAAAAATAAATTTCAATTTAAAAGATATTAAAAGCTTTTTAAATGACTTTTATATGATTATTATCTTAAATCAATATTTAATATAAGTTATATGCAATTATAAATGAATTAATTAAACAATTGCTTTAATTTTGTTTTAAATAATTGGGATTTTAGAGTTCTTTCAATTTTATTAGCTAAAGGATTATTTCTTTTAATTCTAATACTTATATTCTAACATTAATATGTTTTCTATCTTAAATAAATAACAATATTTGATGATAGATATTTATTATTCCTATATATTGTTGAAGCTTCTTTGTATAGTATTCAAACTTATTTTTAACATTTTTATAAACTACATTTCACTTAAAAATAGATTCAAAATTTAATTAATTATTTTTTATGTTTAATAATTTATTAATAAATACAATTAGAAATGAATTTATTAAGATTCTCAATATTTAGAAGAATTGTATAAATTATTAAGATAATCTGATAGTTCTATTATAGTTCTACAATTGATTTCTAATTTATAATATGTCTATAGAATAATTAGTATTAATCATCTTTATAGATACGTTATAAAAATAAGTTAAATTTAGTATAGAATATTAAATTATTATTGAAAACAGTAAAAATCATATTGGGTTAAGTTACTTTACTATTTAAATAATCTTTTACAACTCATTCATGAATTAAATTGATATTTTATTATTATTCATAAAGAATAATTTATGTACAGGAAAAATAAAAAATAAAACATCATTAATTAAGATATTCATCTTTTATTGATTAAACTACCTGGATCCAATTTATAGGCTTTGCTTCAGCATCTTTAAATTTATAAAAAAACGAGGATGATTCTAACACCTTATAATTTCTAAAGTATGTACATAATGAACACCGTCATTTGATATCTTTATTGTATCGTCAATAGGTAAATATTTTTTTTCTCCTTTGATAAAATCTATCAATAAACAGGGAGGCTTTAAATATCCAAAAAGTATTGCAATTTAAGGTATACAAAACCATCTATTTGTGTTCAAATAAATAAAACCAACACATTTATCAAAATGCTTAAATACTGAATTACAATGAGATTCCATATCCTAATTACTTGGAGATTGATGTATAGTTCGTTCAGGTTTAAAAATTGGTTAATTTGGAGAGCAGTGTATTTTTTAAGGTCTTATTAATCTGTTTGGAATAGGTGTTACAGTTTCATCAAGCTCTTCCATAATTGTTTTTAATCTATCTTATTTTTTCTTAACTAGTTCTTATTTCATCTAAACATTTGCAGGTGTAAACTCCCATAAAATACTTGATTTACTTTAACTAGGTATAATCTCTTAAAATAAATCTTTATATTCAAAGGGAATCTATATTTCAGTCTGCCAAGGAATATAATCCTATTTAATATCTTAAAAATATTAATGTTAAATAATCAATTAAGTATCTTCTTATCCTAATCTTTCAGATGGATTCAATACCAATAAAGATCTAATAAGATCTTAAGCAGATTACGGTATAGAATTATCTAATTCATAATTGAGAGTTAAGATATTATTAAAAATAGCATTTTCACTAATATCAGTGAAAGGTTATTTTCCATGATAAAACTAGATAATTATTACAATAATACCTCATACACTATACAACCAAGAGCCCATAAATCAGCCTCTTTAGATGCTCTACTATTATTGAGCATTTCAGGTGAGATGTATTCTGGTGTTCCAACAAAATTTGATCTGTATTAAGTTGATTCACTTTCAATTTTTTTAATAGATCTAACATGACTTTATTATATTTTCTTTATTTAATCAATTAAATCTGGGGGTTATTTGTTTTCTTCAAAAAAAAAGCAAGTTGCAAAATCTGTGAATTTTAGATTGTAATTTTTATCTATTAAAATATTTTTAGGTTTTATATCTAAATGAGCTATACCTTCATTATGCAAATAAATTATTGCTTAAGTTATTTGATAAATGTAAACTTTAATGAAATATTCAAGTTCTTAAGATCTAGTATTTCTGTAAATTTAATATATGTCATAAATAATATTTCCTAAATCTCCAAAAGGACAGTGCTCACTTACAAAATAAAGGTATTATTTATCTTAAAAACTGCCAATAAATTCAACAACACCTAATGAATTAGATTCAATTTTACTGGGATACTTTTGAGAATACTACTTCATCATATGTCTTTCAATATAAATTTCTGATTATTTGTTCGATAGAGTAATTGATTCTTTATAAACCTTTTTTATGGCTACTTTTCTATTATTTTTTAAGTAAATAGCTTCATAAACTTCTGAATACGCACCTTCATTATTATTCATAAATATACCTTCACCAATTAAACCGACTATATAGAAACTTTTAATGTTCATCTTTTTATCTTTTTTAAGTTGATTTTATAACTAAATTCCTTTCATATAAAAATTTAATTTTATTATAAATCCATCATTCACAGATGGAAATCAGCTTAAAATAATGACGTTAGAACTTTTTGAATTATCAATTTTTACTATCTTCTTATATGTTTAACATTGATTCAGAATTGTTGAATAAACTAATTGAAATGAGTGATTTTTTAAGAAGAATAACATTCAAAAAGAATTTCTTAAAATAAGAGCATAATAACTTCTTTTTCTTGGTTTAGTATATATATAGTTAAATGTTTAAATACATAGGGGAGACTATATTTTTAATATAAATTAAAATTTAAATAGAATCAGAGAGAGAGTAAATTATATTTAATAACAAAATTGTAATATTATTATTATAATTTATGAAGTTTAGAAGATAAGGTTATAACTTCTTCTTTACTAAAAATAATATTGTAATAATTAGAATGTATTTTTAATATTATATTCTCTAAATTTAATCAATCTTGTGGAGCCTCTATAGGTTATTAATCTGTTATATTTGCTTTGAAAAATTCGTTGTCTACTTTTTGATTTCTAGCTGCCATAAGCTTAGCCAATTTAAGTTTCTTATAGTAAAGTAGTGCAGCAATTAGCAATGAAACTCCAACAACAGAGCAAACTACAGCTACAACTATGGTAACTGTTGTAGAACTATTTTCTGATTTCTTAATTGATTTTTAGATGGTTCCTGGATTAGTAGAATTATTATTTCCATTATTTGTGCTCTCTTATTAATTGACTCCTTCATCAGTTACTAGAACCAAATCATCATCATTATTTGAAGGATTGCCATTATTGTTATTATTGTTATTATTATTATTATTATTATTATTATTATTATTATTATTATTACCACTATTATTACCAGTATTTCCTTGTCCATTATTATTTGTATTACCTCCTGGAACTAAAACAATTTCTAAAAAATATAAAATATAATATTACCTGATGTTTATTCTGTACTCTTGAAATTAAGTTCTGATATTGAAGAAATAGTCGTGGATTCATGTTTGAGACCAACAACTCCTAATTATTATAATTCTTCTGAAATTCCTAATTATTCTAATTTACTAGCCATTTCAGCTAATCTTGATTAAGATTGTTTGCCTTCAGAAGTACCAATTTCTGCAGAATCTGTAATACCCCAATCAATAAGAATAGACTCAGTTGCAGATTCTTCCAAAAATCTTCTTCTGTATTTCTTGGTTCCAATAATGAAATAGTTATAAGGATCTCCTCCTAATTGTGCTCTTGCATATTATAGGAATTTATCACCAAAGAATTCCGATGTTGTTATTTCTAGTCTTGTTGAAACTTAAAGAGTGTTTTTCAATGCTATTCTAATCTTGCAATCCAATTTACCTGTTAAAACAAAATGTATAGTTCTATTTTCAAAGAAGTAATTATTTGCACCACATTGATTAGTCATTGACATGAGATCATGATGTTTATTATGGGTTGTAAGTCCAGGTTATACAACTTTATTATTGACCATAACTTGAATAATTTATGGAACAGAGAATTGCCATTACAAAATAACCCAATCTTCTGGGCTACCTGCTTCTGATCTCTTTGATAACCAATATTCAGATGTAGTTGGGTTCATACCAGCATTTGACATATTAATAACTGTATTGACTGATACTAAACCTACGAATTTTGATTCTCTTAAGTTTAATGGTTCAGGACCATCCCAATTCCATTCAGCATAACTATTGATTTCATTAAAGAATAATCCATCAGTCAACTTAATTGGTGAATATAATCTCTTATTAAAGTCTGCAGCAGTACTCATAAAATTCAATACAGTGGCTTATCTACCTGGACACCAATATCCATTCCAAGAATCTTGTCTTGAACAATAAGTGACATTTGGACCAAAGTATGTATTATTACCAATACCTTATCCAATTTGTCCAAAGAAATGACCAGTTTAATCTTCAACTAAAAAGTTTATTTATCCTGTGCACTCAAATGAACCACAACCTCCAAACCATCCTAATTTACTTTAATCTGGATTTCTAGTTTTATATAATAAAGCATTAAATTCACAATTAGTGCATGGAGAATTTACTAAATAATGTTATCCTGTCATATCATGTGCTCCATGATGTTATCTCATAGCAGCATTATTCTAACATCTTGGTATATTATCATAAGTTAATCTAAAGTTATGGAATTCAACATTTGTCAAGTAAACTCTAAGATCAACTCTTTAAACTGTACAAATTGTATCAAATGCAGAAGAAGGTTTACCTGAAATAGGAGGGAATGCTGATGAAGATAAGCTACCCATTTAAATACCCATTTAACCTCTACAATTAGGATTAAGAGAAGCAGAATAGCATTTCACACAATCAGGTCTAGCCAAAGCTGAAATGAAGATATTATTTAACTTCATTTTATTGTCTTATATGCTATTTGGAGCAGGTTTCAAAGCTATACCTCTATCATTCTCAACTACTATTGATTTTTCAAGTTATATCTATTCACTAACAACTGCATACATAATACCAACTTCACTATGATGAGCATATAATCCTGATATATATGTACATTAACCTTCAGGATCTTATCTTACACCAAAACAAGCCAAAATAGTACCTGAACAATGATTATTATAGAATGATGATTAATATGCATCTGAACATTTACTTCCCATAACAAAGAATCCTGTATCTTATGATCCTTATCCAACATTTCCAGATACATCAACTATATCTCTTGTCATTTAAGTTGGTACTAATTCATCCATGTAAACAAAATTACCAAATACTGCCCAATTAGCAATACCTCCATCTGTTAATACTCTCTTTTTAACATAGATCAATGCATTATTCTAGAATTTCACATATTAACTGTTATTAATCTACACCAAAGCTTTGATACCAGTGAAAAATATGTTATTCTTAATTGTAATGTATTATGAATTTTAAATTGTCATTAACATACCAGTAGTATCATGGAATGAACATCCTAAAACTTCACTTGGAGTCTTAATAATATCACTATTAAGATTTCTAAAATCTAATCCACTTCTTTGAGTATCAAATTAACCACAATTATTAAATTCAACACCATGTAATACAGTATATCCTCTTCTTGGGAATCCTAAATTAGCTTCAGGTTCTTCAAATTAATAAATTAAAACTCTGCATCCTAAACCATGAACACTAGGTCCTCCTTCAATCTTAATCTTTCTAGTTAAATGTCCAACAACAGCTCTCATATCTAATTATCCAATTCCAGGTTTATCTATTGTTACAGAAGGAGCTCCATAATGATCAAATTCAAGTGCTTAATTTAATGTTATAACACATCCAGAAATAGATGCAATAGTTCTCTTCTCTCTTTATTCTGGATCACTACCAGAAGGACCAAATACAATCTCATCACCAACAGCCCAATCAGTACATTCTGCTACTGTAATAGTTGTTGCACCAGCATCAGCATAAGCAGCCAATCTAGTCCATACTGTTCCAGGTGGAGTTGAATATAATTCCATAGCTCTTGTGACAGCAAGAACCTTATTACCAACATCTAAATTAGCATCAATTACTAATGGATTATCTCCATATTCTCCATTCAAAATAATATTAATTTTTCCAGGGAATGGATGAGTTGAATTACCAGCCAATAGTTTTCCTGTTCTAACCCAGATTCTCTCAGCTTCTAATTTAGTAGATGCTCTTCTCTCATCAAAAATAAGTGATCCCAAAATAGTTAAATTAGCAAGTTTAGGTGGATCAACATCCAAGATAACTTAATATGCTCCCTAAACAATTGGACTATCTCCTTCAACAGGTACTTTATTATCAATCCAAGTAGTAGGATCACTCCAATATCTATATCCATCTTCCAAAGGTACATCTCCTAAACTATCACATTCTTCTCTACAAATAACTCCTCTGACCTCAACATATTCATATTACTTCTTATTCTTACCAGACAAGCAAAGGAAGAATAATTTATTTGTTCTATCATTATACCAATCGCCTTAATTACAAGTCTTAGTATCTGGCATTTATTCTAATTTTGTGTAATTTACAGGGAATTATCCTCCTATGTTTCTCATAATATCAAATGTTTCTCTGTTGGCAGAATAATTAAATCTAAGAATTACAGCATCATCTGCTTAATTAAAGTAAGGGGATGCAAAAATACCCATACTTAATGGATCACTTGCTCCAAATTTAAAATGTACATTATAAGTGAAACCTGTAGCAAAAACACTTGCAAATGATAATTTAACATCATGACTCTTCTTTATAATTTTCATGGTTTCAGCTTCTATATATCTACTCTCATCAATTGAAGAATCCATTTTGAGTCCAACATTAGTGCTGTCCAATCTATAAAGTTTCATATCAGTTCCTGTGAAATCTTGTTCTGGAGTAGGATTATTAATCAAAACATCTCTAATAGTAACTTAATTCATTGCACAAATAATAGAATTATCCCAATAAGCTTCTGGATGAACAACACATCCTGGAATTCCATCAATATGTTTCTTATATGGTATAATATATGCTCCTCCAGTTACTCCTGATATAGTACCATCTTAATCCCAAAAGATTTCTCTTCTATGTTTCTACCAGAAAATACGATTAGCTGAATCAGAATTAAATACTTTGACATTCAAGAATTAGGTATTTTTACCTCCTTATACCCATAATTTTGGAGTCCAACATACAGAGCATGATTCAATTAAAGCAGAATTACTTCCATAATTATAAATTCTGATGTTTTTAGCTAAAAATCCATTTGTTCTTGGTACAACCATAGCTCTTGATCCATCATAATAAGTATCATCAGGATTTGCATTGTTAATTGATTTACCAATAATTAATGCATTATCTAAAACAGCTCCTTCAGTTGAGAAATTACCTTTGTGAGCTTAGAAACCAGCAAATTTAGAATCAGCAATCATTATATCTTTGAAGTAAATGTTACCCAATTCTTCCCCTAAAATACCACACTCATTATTTTTCCATGTATAGAATTTTTCGAAAACTGCTTAAAGACTTGGATTGTCTATATATGGTTAATCATTAGTCCATTTTGCTGGATCTAAACAAGGGAACTTTCTTGGTGCCATTTAGAAAATACGAAGACCAAATCTACCATTTGAATGTGCCCAATTATCCTTAAACTCAAGTATATTTAATCCTGGAGGACAAATATCTGAAGTAGCTGATGGACCATCTGGATTTGCTTTAATTTCATACCAAAATCCATACCACTCTGAACCTCCTGATCTATTTCTTCTTAATATATTTTATGGATTTGTAACCCAAAAAGTAGCCACAGTAATATCTGTTTATAACATGATCCAACTTTATTTAGTACTTGCAACAAGGTTATCTTCTACGACATTGTTTGTTTCAATACCATCTTCAAAGAATATAGCATGTCCAAAAGTATTATAACAAACATTTTTTTAAACTTTCAAATAATGAACACCATGAATAGTTAAACAACGAGCATAACAATCATGAATAGCATTACCAACAACATATGATTCATCTACTTCTCCATTCAAGTGGAAATGAACAGGATATCTACCAATAATTCTTGGTTAACCACCATATCTGAATTCTGCATATGATATTTTACCAATTGATCCTTTCTCTGCTCTTCCATGAATCATTAAATGATAACCATATTTCAAATCTGACTCTTCACCTTGAATAACAATATTTCTTGTTAATAAACCAACTTCAACTTTCATTGGGAATTGATCTGTTCCATAAGTTTCAACAGCTGAATAATGTTTATATGTAAGTGGTTAATCAAGAGTCAAAGTTTTTTTGTCAGCACTAACAGCTGTAATGTATCTTTTTTCACTTTGCATATGTTCAACTTCACTGGATGTTATGACAATTTATTCTCCTACCTACCAATCTACAGCATCATCAACTGTTATTTGAGTTGCTCCTGCTTAAACTGTGCTTGATAATAAAGTCCAAGTTGGTGTTCTTTCTTTTCCATGAATAGTTAATTAACATTAATGACATCCTAAAACTTTATTACCCATAGCAGGCATTTATACATCTTCTTCAACACCATATAAAGTAATCTATACTTTATGTTAATGAGCCACCTATTCTGTACCAATGTTGAATTTACCTTCTCTAATAACAATAAAATGAGCATCCATAGATGTATCTAATTCATCAGAGAATGTGAGAGTTCCTTCAACTAAAACTTACATCAATTTAGGTGTTTTAACATCAACAATTAAAGTTTATCCAGCATTAACAATAACTGAATCTCCATCTCCTGGATATTCATATCCACCCCAAGTATTTATATCTGACCATTTAGTAGCATAAATGAATTTTTGATTATTAACTGCTAAATTTCCATTAACTCTAACTTAAAATACTCCATTTAATTATGTTTATTCTAAATCTTTAACTCCAGTTTTACATACAATTTAAGTTGCTGTAACACTTTAGATAGCACATGTGACTCCATCAATAGTCACTGTAGTTTATCCATTTACAAATCCAGTACCAGTAATTGTAATAACTGCTTCTTCAGTGAATCTGCCTGTAGCTGGATTGACAGTATTAACAATAGGTACACTATTTGATGAGTAACTAACAGCATTTGATACTGTACCTATAGCTTATCCATTTACTGAGATTTCTGCATTACATGATGTTGGAACAGAATATGCATTATTACTATTAGATAATATCCAACCTTTTAATTCAATTTCTGCTAATTAACATGATGATCCAGTAGTTCCTCTTGAATCAAATAATCTAATTGCTTTAATACCTGTGATATCACTTTAAGGAACATAAATATTCCAACCTGTATGAACAGTTTAATCAACTGTTAATAAAGTCTACCATGTAGTACCATCTATTGTGTATTAGAATACTGCATCTTTCAATAGAATAGCTTGTCTATCAATTCTTGGAATGTATCTCAATTAATGTAATTTCAAAACTCTACTTGTTCCAAAGTCAACTTAAATATAACAATTTGAAGCTGCAGTAGAAATATAATAAGTTGATTATTATAAATCAAAGAATTTAGAAGCTGAAGTTGCTGTATCAGCTAATAAAGTAACTTCTGATGGTTTAATATATCTTGCAGGTTCTTACAATGCAGAGTATTGATTTAAAACAGAATTTGTCAATAATTTTGGAGCTTCGCATGAAAGCGTTGTATATGTTGCACTTGTGATTGGACAATCAAATCCACAAAGTTTTACTGAATTTTAATCCTTAACAGAATCAAAACCAGTTCCAGTGAATGTAACAGTTGCACCACCAGCATAAGATGCAGTTGGATTACTTGAGGTTGGTAAAGATGAACTAACAATTAATTTTTATTTTGTAACATCACTTATGAATGCATATTTAGTGTCTACTAATAGATTAATTGAATAGACTCCTACTGGTAAATTTGAGAATGAAGCTGTTACTGACGTATCAGATAATGCTGAAACTGTTCCAGTTATTTTATGACCCATATGTTCCAATGTAACAACAATAGTAGTACCAGTAAGTCTAACACCTGTGAATACAAGTACAACATTTCCTGCTGTAGCCAAATAAGCCTTTTAAGTAGTATCATATGTAGCACCACTAATTGCTGTAAATGTGGGAGAACTAGAAGAAGGAGTTATTGTTAAAGTGTAAGTTGCTGTGTAAGGAGTTGCTGAATTATTTTCAGAAGGCAATTATGATAAAGTTACAACTGCAGATGTTCCTGATTATCTGGCCATTCTACATTTAATTAACACACTAGAAACTACTTCTAATTCAGTACAAACTGTTGCTCCAACTTTAACACTTGGAGATCTATTAGCATTAAATCCAACTCCATTAATTGTCAAAAGGGATCCACCTATGGGAGCAGCATCAATTTATGTAATACTTAATCCAATTACAGTAACCCAAATCTTATCTGCATAACCATTTTAAGTTAAAACATAAGTTGAATATTATCCTTATGGTAAATTTGGAATAGTATAAGTGAAGGAAGAACCAGAAATAGTAGTTGTAACAGTTTATGTTACTGGACCTTTGAAAACTACTGACACAACACTTGTTAATCCTGTTCCTGATAATGTTTCTGAATCTCCTGGAGCATAACTCTTTTATTAACTTAACACTAAATCAGCAGATGTTAGCATATCTCTTCTTGGTGATTTACCAAGATTTAAGAGATGATCATTTCCTTATTTCTTTGATTCTTCTGTCCATAAAAATCTCTTTCTTTGGACTAATTTTTAATAGTCTGGTTTTTAATGATCATTCTCTGTCAAAATTCTTGATCCAGTAAATTAAGTAGCAGATGCTGGATAATTATCAAGAACTGGAGTCAAAGTACTATCATAAGTAAATTTGCAATTATTGGTAGTATCAAGACAAGTTGATTCAAGTGTCACCTATAATGTTACAACAACTAATTAAGCTGCCTCACTATAAAATTCATGTTTTGCTGGCACTGTGCAATAAATAACTTCACTTGTGAATCTACTTTCATCAATTTCACAGAACCAATTAATAGCTATACCTACAAATACAAGAGTTTCTCCTTTGACAAAATTAGATCCTGTAATCTTAATAACAGTTCCACCAGCTTCAGAACCTTTTGCTTAACTAGTACCATCTTCTAAAGTAACACTTGTGATAGGAATGATATATTTAAATAAGTTATCACCAGTATTAGCATATGAATTACCATAATCTTTTCTAGTAACAGTAACTAAATAATCACCAGGCATTCCTCCTCTTAAATAAACTTTAATTGAAGTATCTGTAACAGAAATAACCTTTGCATTATATGATTTAGTTCCTACTAAAGTAACTTTGATATCTTCAACAACAGTACCAAAATTAGTTCCTGTTATTGTCATTTCTCCTTTGAATATTGGTGTTTTTGCATTGAATTCCAAAGATTAAACTTACATTCTTAAAGCATCATTATATGTAAATGAATTGCTAGTTATTGTTTTTTAATTGAAAGATATGGAAATAGCTCCAGTTCCTCCACTTGCCTTTTTAGGACTAACAAATACAATTTAAGTATTTGTTATTGATAATGGTTGGACATCTTAACCATCAATTTAGAATGTAAAATCTCTATTTAAATTTTTAGGGAATCCAGTACCAGTAATAGTAATGGTTGTACCTCCATCTGGTGATCCTTAGGCAGGTAAAACTGAAGTAATAACCATATTAACATTTTCTCCAGTAACTCCAGCATCAATTTTAGAAAAACCAATAGCTCTATGATGTAAAGCAGGTACTTAATTATCTCCAGCTTCTTTAATATTCTATCCATTCAATTATTCTAAGCTACAAGTAATAGTATAAGGAGATGTATTGGTAGTAAATTGAATATTTGTACAATCAGCTCCTGCATATAATATTTCTAAGTCAGGTTTAGTAATTGGTAATCCAACTCCTTCTGATAAAGTTAACGACAATTGAGATCCAGTAACTGTATAAGCTGTTAAAGTAGGGGTTTTTTCATCACTTAAAGTGAAATCACATACATCTACTTATTCACAACCTGCTAAAATTTATTCAGTTTCAACAACAACATTATTTACTTTTAATTCATACTGAACTTCCACTTAAACTTAAGGATGTTGACTATAAGTAAATAATAATTCATTTGGAATAGGTTCAAATAGTAAATTATTACTATCTGGAATTGGTTTAGAAACTGCAGTAGTTACATCACCAGTACCTGAAACTAAGAGACTACTTGATATTTATAAATTAGTAAGTCCTTCCACATGTGATCTTAGAATAATGTACCATTTCCATCCATCTTAAGCTCTTCCAAAAGTCCATACAAAAGGTCTTTAACCAGTGATTCTTTCAACATTATCAGCAATTAATGATGATGATGCATCAAAAGGTAAATCATAATTGTTCTCTGATACTTAGAATAAATTATCAATTCCATTGATTGTCATTGTTAATTAAAAGGTTCCACTAATTGGATCAAGAGGTTCTTAAGTTCTTTCAATCTTTTATGAGACTGTTCCTCCATTAAGAGTAGATGAGATAATTTTTGGAAGTGCTCTATATTAAATGGTACCTCTGTGAGAATCAAATGTAATAGTATATTTATATCCAGCAAATACTGTTGCTGCATCATCTAAAGGAGCTCCAGTATTATCTAACTTTGTGGCTACTACTGTTACTAGATATTTTCCACCACAATTTTAAATTGCATTTTTAATTGCATTTGCATTAGCATTTGGTGCTAAATCTCCTGTAATATAAGAATAATAGACACCTGTTTATGGAGTTGTTTTAGTACCAAAAGTGAATTAAAGTTAATACTTACCTGCTAATAAAGTATTTCCATTTGAATTATATAAAGTGAATTCGATAACTTCTTTTGTTGGTGTATAGGATGTTGAAATTTCATAAATACTGTTTAATGAATTTGATTTTCTAGTTGAACTTTCAATTTCCATAGAGAGAGTAAGATATCCACCTGATCCACCATTAAGATGATAAGCTTCTATGTAATAAAATTCACCTTCTTATAAAGCTACAGGTTCAGATATAGTTTTAATTGTGTTTGAAGAACTCAAATATTCATACCAATAGTTTCTATATGGATTCCAACCACTTGCAGCAACTTCTGTATCAGGTCTAATTGGCTATTTAACTTGAGAAGTTTAAATAAAGAATTAAGCACAATCATCTGAAGCAACATAAAATCTATAATTTCCAGTAAATGGTGCTTTTAAGAAACCTCTAAAATATTATCCATAATATTCTCCAAATGAATTTTATACATCAGGTTCTGGATAAATACCATCAAATTGAATTCTACTATCTAATTAAGCTTAATTAGTAATGATTTAAGTTCTAAATGAAGCACAATTTAAATTCAATCCTGAAATATCCCATCTAGTATAATGTAATCCACTTCCTTAAATATAAACAGAACTTTCAGTAGCATCAGCAACAGTTGGTAAATTTGTTAGTTTTGGTATCTTAGCATGTATAGTAGTAGGAGTTGAGGATAAAACTTAAATTGATTCAGATTAACCTGAAATTTTAACTGTGTTCTCAGTTGCTATTGGACTAAATCCATATCCTGATATTTATAAGATTTAACCTTCTGGAGATGCAAAATTTGTATTTATTCCTGTAATAACTGGAAGAACTCTAAAAATTAAAAATATTCAATACTTTGAGTCATATGTTTAATCAGAATAAATTTTTTTTTATTTAACTCCTACATCATTAGTTTGATATCCACTTTATGATTTAATAGTATAATCATAATATCCTGCTTTGATTTCAGCTGAAACTTAACATACAACTTAATCATCCCAGAAACTAATTTCATCTGGATACAAATCTTAAACTGTGAATCTATCACATCTATTAGCCCCCATAAATTAACCTTCTAGATATTAAACCAAAGTGCTAGACACAGCCCATTTAGCTCTCCAATAGCTTAGAGTTCTGGGATAATTTGATCTAGGACTAACATAAAATAATTTTGGAGTATAATATTGAGAGTAACTATAAAGACATTTTGAGGAAATGGAAGTACATACTGAGTCTGGTTTACCTGATACCTTAACAACAATTTATAAGCCAGATAAGTTATTGTCATCTGAATCTGGTTTTGTTGTTTTGCAGTTCATGAACAATCCATTGACACCCTTGTCAGAGATTACACAAGGATATTTACCAATGTACACTGCATTATTACTAGCAGTTTAATCTAACCCTTATACCTAGAAGAATATATATTTTCTTACTTTCATATATATTGTTGTTCCACCCATGGCAGAACCTTAAAGTCCAGAATTTTCTTATCCTAAAATAGTTGAAGCAGCCAAAATTACAACTGCATCAGAAGTTGAATCTGTTGAAGAGTCCATCATCATGGCTATAATAATATTTGATCCTATTACCTTCAACATTATTGCTTAATAGCACAAGTAACATGTTTGTAAATGCTATGATAAACATGAAAATGATTTATAAATATTAATGATCTTCTTCAAATTCTAGAATCCTTTTATACCCCTTAATATCTTGATTAATCTCAGTTTTAATTTTCCCATACTCAAAAATTAAATGTATCTTCTCTTCATGTTATTAGGAAAACAAGATTATTTCTTTATAGTAGCGATTTTCTTCTTACTAGAGTGGGCTAGTAATATCTAAGAGAAGTTTAAAAATCAAAATTTAGTCCAATTTTTTTTAACATAATTTTTCTTTCTTTAAGGCTTACTATTCTTTAATATAAAATCAGTGTTTAGCTTGTTATAAAATAAGTGAGATAGCATGTAAATATAATAATTTTATTATTTGGAATATGAAAAAATTGTTTTTTGGCAAAATCATCATTAATGAAGCAAAAAAATATATCTAACTTATATACTCTTCTCAATAATGAAATGATTCAAAAAGTTTTAAATACTTAATAAAAAAAATAAAAAAAACAAACTAAATTCTTCATTTTCTCATTTTTTTTGCTGATCAAAATTTACTGATATCTTAGCATGAAGAATACGATTTCTACACATTCTATAGGCACCAATAACTTTATAATTATATTTTTTATAGACTAATCATAAGTAATTAATCAAATTTCCTTAAATTCTATAAAACAAAATGGAGAACATAATATACATTCAGATTTGGAACTCAATTAATAAAGAATAATAATTGAATTTATTGTATAGTATTTATTTGATTCTATAATATAGTTAAAAATATACTTTTAAAATTATTGATTTTATAAGTTATTTGTGGCTTTTAATTTAAAGACAATTTGATTGTAGATTAATGAATTCAAATCTTTTTTTATAGTTGATGCAAGGATAATATTGTAAAATTAGCTTGAGTAATATTTTGCATGAACAATTCAACTGATTTTTTATTTAAATTATTAAAAGTTATTTGCAGACTGATTTATACGAAGAAAGAAAAATAGATAACATCATATAATTAGCTAATATAATTGATTTTGAATTAAAATATTGAATAAATTCTCGTCTCATTATTTCCTATATACTATTATACTTATTCTGCAATATCTAATATCTATTTTCTAATTTAGGCTTGTTAATTAAAATTTTATTACTTTTAGAATTATCTAATTAGATAATATAATTTATTTAATTCAGTTTATTTTAATCTGATTATTTCAATAAGGAACAAGATAATACTTATTTTATAGAATTCCTATTATTATTGATTCAATCGGTAGAAATTGCTATTCAGATTTAAATTGAGCTGTTAATTTTATGACTTTTATAAAATATTTGATATTTTACTTAATTTAAGGCTTGGATTAGTCATTTTTTGTCATCAAAATTTCAAGTTTATTTTGTAGACTTAATTATTATTTGTTTATTACTTATTTACAATATAAAAATTATTTATAATTATTTCAAATTTAGAGTGTTTTGTTTATGATAATTTTCTCGATAATATTTTATTATATCATTTTTTTACTACTTATTATCTATTCTCAATTATAATTTTCGATATTTGAAAAATATTTCATATTTAATTGATGAATAGTTGACTAAAATAAATTGCTTTTATTTAATTAATCTTAAATATATTTTATTATTTAGACTTCAGTTTGTTATTGCTGCATTTAAAATTCGGACTTTCTTATTTCTCAAATTTGTGTCTTCCATTTTTTTATGTTAATTTATGATCAATAGATTTAAATTTTTTTAATAATATTTCTATATCAAAAACACTTAGAATTCCTCATTATATTTTGGAATATTTGCTTTTAGTAATTACTTTTTAGTGTTTAATTTTTCATAAATTTCCTAATTTTTTAACATATTATTCTCCTAATTTTAATTATTATTTAGTTGTTCTCTTATTTTAATTATAAAACCTTCTACATTTAGTTTTTTTCATTTGTTTAGCATTTATGTAAAAATGTTCAATTTAAATTTAGTAATCTTTCACATCAATTATTTCATCTTCAGTCTTTTTTTATTAAGTCCTTCACTCTATATATTTTACTTGAAAATGGACTTATGTTTGTTATTGTAATTAATCAATATAATTTTCCTATATTTTTATATATATAATGTTTCATTCTAATATTACAACTCAGATGATTAATATATATTGATCATATTTAAATTTGATGTTATTTAACAAGAATGTTTAACTAACTTTGGATTTCGATAATATTTATATTCTCTTAGAATGCTTTAATTAATTACTATAATTATAAATATTAAATAATTGTTATCTAAGGAATTAATTGTATTTCTTTATTCTAATTAATACATTGTTTATTTTTATAAAGATGATTAAATTTGTTGCCAGAAAAATCGAGAGATCTTCTTCTTTAAAAAAAGATGAACAAAAAATTGAAGAGGAATTATAATTTGATTATCCTGTTACTATTCAAAAGCCATTAACTATATCTGATTAAGAATACAGTGATGATTATTAATTATTGAAATAAAATCCTCCTGGAGTGAGTTTAAAATTAAACATTGGGACACCTAAAATTGAAACACCATCAAAGTTACCATATGTGTTAGATGATAGTCTTTAAAGGTAATCATAATTTTATATATTTTAAGATAAAAAGGAAGAATGAAATTCTATGATGATACAAAGAAATATGGATTTTTAGTACTTGATGAAGATGGAACAGATGTATTTGTACATTATGATGATCTTTAAGCAGCAGGAATAACTTTAGAAAAAATGAAGCTATATAAAATTGTTCATTAGTATTCATTATTCTTAAGATTAGGAATAATCCTTAATATGTGAAATTTACAAAAAATGGAGGTCCTTACTTTGAATTTACTTTAATGAATTATATGGGAAAATATAATAAGAGTAGAAAAGCCATAGATCTATAATTATTGAATTAAACTTGATATATTAAATTAATATTAACTATTATCTTAATCTTAAATCTTATTTTACATCTTCATATATATTCTAAAGATCATTTTATTTTATTATAATTTATATGGAGACTTCATTAAAAATTTGGAGACTATTATGCGAATAAACTGAATCATAAATTTAATCATTCAGATTTAAAATATCATTATTAATTTCAACATGGGTTGTTGTACTACTAAAAATAAGAAATAGTAAAAGGATATAGACTATTTTATGAATATCCTAGATAAAAACATAACAGATGAAACAAAAATCTAAGAAAGAAACAAATTATTTTAAATTCCAAAAAATCCAATATTTTAAAGGAGACTATCATAAAAAAAGGAGAACTCTTTGACAAAATAAACTTACTCTTATTTAGAAAGAAACAACTAAACTTCTAAAAATTGTGAATATATATGATCTTATATTGTGTTGAATATTATTTATATAAACAATCCTTTTTTAGAGTGTAAATTGTCAAGATCTTCTCAATATGATATATAGAATCTGAGTTTTAATGATATTTGTGGAATCAGCTAAAGTAAAATTAATATAATGTTACTTTTGCTTTATATAATAATTGGGAATATTACATTTTACTTATGATATATTATTTAAATACAATGATATATAGAGAATGATTCTTTCATATATAATTAGTAATTTGTGACACTTGTAAAAACTTTGGAATAATTTTCTTTAAACTGAAAAATGAAGATATATAAAAATAATTGGAAACAATAAAATGAAATAATATATAAATAAATAAAGAAGTTTATTTGGTTTCTAAGTAAACATTATTTTATAATCAAATTTTTGTATAAAACAAAATATTTGTTCATTAATTTAAATAATTAAAAAATATATTTCAAACCTTCATTGTTTATTCTTTAATTTATTGAAAAATGCAAGTGATAATTTTCATTTTGAAAAGTCATTATAGATAAAAGTATACTTTAAATTTATTAATTAATGCAATTATGAATTAACAATTTTTCAAAAGTAATACTTTATATAAATTTGTATAATTCAATTTAAATACTATATAAAACTTAAATTAATATTGTATATTGAAATAAGAAAGATAATAGAAAGATATTTTAAGTTTATCCATAAAGTTTATTAAATGCTATTTTTCCAATTAGAAAATTTTTGAATATTTAGTTTAATTATAGTTATCAACATTTATCATAATCATTTAAATATGATATCTTAAAATTTTATTACAAAATTAATCGTATCATATATTGATTAATGGCCAGAATAAATAAAATTTAATAAAAAATTGATAAAATTATCAAGATAATTCTTTTATCTTGTTACATCTTTCCATACTTTTAAGATATTTTTTTATTTATTATAGAACATCCCTATTTTTAGATGATAATCAAAAACTGAATAAACTGAAATTTTCATCAATTTATCAATACAATATTAAATTTATAAACAATAAAAATTAAAAATGGGATGCACGTAAGGAAAAAATAAGTAAAAAAGGGCTTCTTTTTAATATGAAATCTATGAAAGAGCCCAAGAAAATTAAATAAAAAAGGAAATATAATATAATGTTCATAAAAATCCAATAATTTAAAGAAGAGTCAAAACTCATTCATAAACTCCTGATCAATAGAATAGAACAAATTAATAATCTGATCTCCTTTCAAATTAAAGATCTTAATTTTGATATAATCCAATTACACAGAGAATTATTAACCTTGAATCTATACAATCTATAATATCTAAATCTTAAAACTATATAATCAACAAATGATATTGGGAATATTAGTATTACCAATAGTTTTTTATTCATATATATAAATTTCTTAACTTTTTTTAAATTAAAATTTTGTTTACCTCTTAAAATTAGGAAGGGAGATATAATAGCGAGTATTAAAGGATATTTATTGTATTTTTGTATTAAGAAAACTATGAAGTCATGAATTACTAAAGATGAGAATCAGATTATATTTAATAAATAACAACCTTTAAGAATTTGTAAAGCCTAGATTTCTAATATCGAAAAAATATCTTAAATTAAAAATTTTATAGAGTCCTATTTTTACAAAATATTCCTAAATTTATATTCATTTACTTAAGATAAAATGAAGATGCTAAAATTTATAAATGTGACTATCTTTAATATGATATCCTTGAAATATTTCAGAATTAATCTATTAATGCTTCTAAAAATTATAGATTTTGATTTTGAATATTATTGTACATCATAAAACATATAGAAATATCTTAAATTAATAATGATGATGCTAAAGAATAAATGATTAAAAAATAATAAAAAGTATAAAATATTCAAATTAAAATTTACATGACATTGAAAATATTTATAACAATTATATATTATTTATCGGTATAAATATATGTAATTATTAAAATTTATCTTATATTTTTTAATTACTTTGATTTTAGGTCTTCGAATACAAACTTCAATAATTTCAATGTATTTTAAATTATTTCTGATGAGTGATTGATTGTTTCACCAATTGATTAATATCATAATAAATTATAAATATGTTATTGAAAGGTTTAAATAGTTATTTTTGTTTAATATATAACTTAAACATAAGATTTACTAATTCTTTCAAATCTAGCCAAATCTACTAAATGCTATTGAAAATATGATTAAACAAATTTTTTGAGATTTTATTACCATTATTAAGATAAATAAAATAAACTTTATAAGTCTTTATTGAATATAAATACTTTATTATAATAATATAATAAATTATTTTAGAAAATATGATAATAATAAGTATGAGAATGATTATAAATTAAATTAATACTATTATGAGATCAATTAATCATTTAAAATTGGTTTTTTTATTCCCATGATTCATCAAAATATAAAATGAGTTTATTTTGATAAAATTATGATTTGTAAACTAAAGATACAGAATACATTTGATTCTAAATGTATATATATAAGTCACAATCAATTTATAAAAACTAAATATTTAATTAAAAATAAGAATTAAAGATTAATAATTTATAGGAGAAAAATATCTTTGAAAGAAGAATGGATCAACGAAAAATTTAATAACTTTGTAAGGGATTTCTATTTAGCATGTAACAATAAATAGTATGATTTATTTGAAATTTAATATAAGTTATCACATACTTAATGTTTGATCAATTATAAGTACTTCTAATTTTAATGGAATGAATTTGTGAAATCTAAAAAAAAGTTGAGATAAATGCTATTTGACAGAAGAAAATGAGCTTTGCTGAAGAGAAATCAAAGTTTTTTTATCAAAATAAAAAGTTTTATTCTTTTATTAATTAGAATAAAACTAAAATTTATAATTTTTTATCTGTTATAAAATTTTTCAAAAATTTAAATCTCATTATCAAATAAATGAAAAGGCTATGTTTCACATAATAAAAATTAATAACCACAATGAGTATTATTCCTATATAAAGGTAATTATATTTTTTTATAGAAAAATAAAAAAATGATAAATCAAGATTATCATCAATGATCTTCAAAACATGTTATACATTAATAATTATATCATATTCGGTAAAATTAATCATCTGTTGATGCTATATGAATGCCTTTGATTTTTTAAATTATGTGTTAATATCTAGTATGAGTTTTGAATAAATTTAATGTTATTAACATAATTTTGTTTATTAGAGCGCCATCGATGCAATAACAAGTTATTAATTCATTAATTTTCTAGACACAAACAAAATGTATTAGACAATTGCTTATTCCAGACTGTGCAAACAAAAGTGATCAAAAAAGTCAATCTATATAAGATGACGGCTCAAAAATAACTTTATTAAGACTTGCAGACCAAGAAGTACCATCTTCAATAGGATTTCTGATGTCAAATTAAATTAAACAGGATACATATTCATAGCTATCTTTAGATTAAGAAGAAAACGATTTCTAATAATAGAGTAATAATAAAAAGAAAGGTAAATAATTTGCCATATTTTTATAATTATTCTTTAGAAAGAAAAAAACATCATAGCCTCAAATATTTAAGTTGCAAGGTTCACAATCTTGTTGGATCACTTAAATAAACTACTTATAAACAGATGGCAGATTTGCTTGCTTCAGAAATAAGTAAATCAAGTTTATCTGTAAATATAATAATTAAAATTTTTATATTTTTTAGTAAGATAGTAAAAATCTCAAACGTAGAGTTTATGATTCCATTAATGTAATGGTTGCCCTAGGAGTACTAGAAAAACAAAAAAAGATCATTATCAAAGGATAGATGTTTTAATAGAATCATATGACTAGTAAATATGTCAGAGATACTAGAGATAGATATGAAATGTTAAGAGTAAATAAATCAATAACAATTAGTAACAATAATTTGATGAACTGAAGAGGAAGAAAATACTATTTTAAAAATTGACTGATTAAGCAAAAAGAATAAATACATTAATAGATCAAAATAAGTATCATAATAAAATAATATCTATATTAGACCACTCTAAAAAGATGAATCAGACTTTTTACAAGATTAATAAATACAAATATATCAATTTCCTATCATGATATTTAAATTACCATAAAATGCAAAAGTATTATAATTATATATATAATAGCTTAATATATTAACTATTGATGGGAAGACTTAAGTTTAAATATAGTCAGATCATGAAATAAAAATTATTGGAGATTATGATATTTTGCCTTTAATCAAAAGAGTTGAAGATGCCAAAGATAAAACTCTTCCTGGACCTATGTTGAATTTATGATAAACTAATAATCAAAATTTTGGCATCATTTTCTAACTAAAAACAATTATTGTCCTCTTATTAGTATTTTTAGAGCAGCAATATGTTTTTATATTTTAAATTTTAATTAAGCGGGAAAATTTAATTTTTAAAATACGATATAATTTTTATTAACCAATCAAAATCTTTATATTTATCAAATCAATATTTCATTTTAATCATACTATGTAATATATTTAAGTTTGTTTCTACTTTCTAATTATTCAATATTATTTAGTAAATGAAGATATTTACATAGATTATCTCAATCAATCTTTTTTATTTAAATTCATAACTTACAATAATTTTAAATAAATCATGATTAAATTCACATTCTAAAATTGCGAATATAAACTTTTAATTATAATGTCTATTATGATAGTTCTAAGTTTTAAAAACTGATTCGTTGTTTTAACTTTTTATTTGATTAAAAATTTAAAGATATACTTATTGATTATTAATCTCTTCCTAATTTATAGATTTTTATTTGAATCAAGTCAAATATTTAATAAATTAAATTTAATAATCTACTATTTTTATTGAATTATTTAAGCTTCTACTCTTTTCTATTTTTAATTATAATTTAAAATTTGACCTTATTAACAATTACTTTTTTTATAAAAGATCTATTTGAATAAAACAGACATTAATGCTAATATTAACAATCATTATAAAAATAATTAAGTTAATAAATCTAGATATTCTTTATTAAACAAATAATTAATTTTTAAATTTTTTCAAATCTATTCGAATTTTTTCTATGTCAAATTAAATTTTTGTTTAACTCTTTTGTAATAGCAATAAATCTTAAAAAAATAACAATAGCAAAGTTTTTAATATTAATGCAATATTTTTATGGATTATTTTATTTTCTAATCAAAAAATGGTTAAACTTGATGGTAGTGTATTGACTTTGCACTTTTCATAATAATTAAGTAGCTTATCCTTACTTCAATATTAAATTACTTTTTCTAAAAAGGATCCTATTTATATTTTATTTGCCTATTTAATCAAATTATATGTTTTCAATAATTCAAAAGATTTTAATACTAAAAATGAAAATTATATAGTTTTAAATACATTTATAAAAAATTAATTTATTCTTTATATTTTAATTGATTGATTCTTTAAATTTTAGAAATTAATTCTAAATTCTATGAGATCACTTGATAATATAGGGTAGAAATAGAATTTAAAACTTTTTTTAATGATATCGAATTTTAAAGTAAAAGTTAGATTAATTTATTTGTTTTAAATTATAAGTACTCATTTCTATTAAAAAATAATATTTATAAATATATGCTAGAACACATTATTTTATGTCTCCTTTTTGTATTGTATTAATTCAAAGAGAGGTTATAATAGATGATTTTCTCAAATAAAATTGATATATAGTTATAAACAGGCTCTAATTAATTTTTATAATATATTTACATGTAAAAATAATTTGAAGGATATAATAATTTAGAAGAGTATTTCTTAGAAGTTGAGTAGATTATAGGCAATGTAAGATATAATAGTTAATAGTCTTAGAATGTCAATCCTTATGACATTAAATGTCCAATATGTTTAAATGTATATTTGGATCCAATTTCATGTGACTCATGTATGAATCATTTTTGTAAGAAATGTTACTAAAAGAAATAAGTAATTATATAATGATTATTAAAAAGAGTACAAAATGTCCTTTATGCAATCGTCTTGGTGAAACAAGAAAAGCATTTCCACTTTTAAGATAATTATTGAGTTAATTAAAAATGAAATGTCCTCATTTTAATTAAGGTTATGATAGAATTATAATTATAGGATGTTAAGTAATTATTGATTATGATGNAATTATTTAAGCTTCTACTCTTTTCTATTTTTAATTATAATTTAAAATTTGACCTTATTAACAATTACTTTTTTTATAAAAGATCTATTTGAATAAAACAGACATTAATGCTAATATTAACAATCATTATAAAAATAATTAAGTTAATAAATCTAGATATTCTTTATTAAACAAATAATTAATTTTTAAATTTTTTCAAATCTATTCGAATTTTTTCTATGTCAAATTAAATTTTTGTTTAACTCTTTTGTAATAGCAATAAATCTTAAAAAAATAACAATAGCAAAGTTTTTAATATTAATGCAATATTTTTATGGATTATTTTATTTTCTAATCAAAAAATGGTTAAACTTGATGGTAGTGTATTGACTTTGCACTTTTCATAATAATTAAGTAGCTTATCCTTACTTCAATATTAAATTACTTTTTCTAAAAAGGATCCTATTTATATTTTATTTGCCTATTTAATCAAATTATATGTTTTCAATAATTCAAAAGATTTTAATACTAAAAATGAAAATTATATAGTTTTAAATACATTTATAAAAAATTAATTTATTCTTTATATTTTAATTGATTGATTCTTTAAATTTTAGAAATTAATTCTAAATTCTATGAGATCACTTGATAATATAGGGTAGAAATAGAATTTAAAACTTTTTTTAATGATATCGAATTTTAAAGTAAAAGTTAGATTAATTTATTTGTTTTAAATTATAAGTACTCATTTCTATTAAAAAATAATATTTATAAATATATGCTAGAACACATTATTTTATGTCTCCTTTTTGTATTGTATTAATTCAAAGAGAGGTTATAATAGATGATTTTCTCAAATAAAATTGATATATAGTTATAAACAGGCTCTAATTAATTTTTATAATATATTTACATGTAAAAATAATTTGAAGGATATAATAATTTAGAAGAGTATTTCTTAGAAGTTGAGTAGATTATAGGCAATGTAAGATATAATAGTTAATAGTCTTAGAATGTCAATCCTTATGACATTAAATGTCCAATATGTTTAAATGTATATTTGGATCCAATTTCATGTGACTCATGTATGAATCATTTTTGTAAGAAATGTTACTAAAAGAAATAAGTAATTATATAATGATTATTAAAAAGAGTACAAAATGTCCTTTATGCAATCGTCTTGGTGAAACAAGAAAAGCATTTCCACTTTTAAGATAATTATTGAGTTAATTAAAAATGAAATGTCCTCATTTTAATTAAGGTTATGATAGAATTATAATTATAGGATGTTAAGTAATTATTGATTATGATGCTTACGATAAACATATTAAATAATGTGATTATAGTGAAGAAATTTGTGGATTAATGGATGGTAAATTACAATGTAATGTTGTAAAATTTAAGAAGGATATACAAAAACATAGGATAAATGAATGTAATTATAGATAAAGTGAATGTTGTCATTGTCATTAATTTGTAATAAATAGAATAACTATTCTTTTAGTTTAGCAATTTTAAATTAGAAATGCATGAGCTCAAATGTGAAGAGGCTTTAATAAATTGTCCAAAATGTTATATTAAAATAAAAATAAAGGATCAATCTAGTCATCTCTTAATTTGTGATTAGAATATAGAAAAATGTAATTATTGTAGTGTAGAATATTCTTTACACTAATTATTAATTCATTAAAATGAATGTCCATTAAGACCAGTTTGTTGTGTTGGTTGTTCATAAAGATTTACTTTTAGTATTTATTACATACATTAAACTAAATGTCCTAAATTTCCATAAACATGTCCAAATTGTAATCAAATAATAATGAGGGAATAATTTGAAAATCATAAATTTAAAGATTGTTTGATATATATAAAATCTCAACATGACAAAGAAATATAAAATTTAATTCAAAAACAATAATAACTTGAAATTGAATTAAAAAAAAGAGATACAATAATTAAGTAAAGACAAATAGGATTTTAGGTTTTCCAATCGATTTAAAGATCCAGATATATTTCTAAATTTAGATAAGACATTTGCATTTGTTAAGTCAACAGCAAGTAAAAAGAAAGATAGATTTGTTTTATTTAATAATCCAATTTCAGAATAAAGAAAATAATGGAAGTTTAAGTATAAATAATAATATTAAAAATAATAGATGTTCCCAAGTTATAAGTTCATGGTATGCAGTAGGTGTTACAGAATTATCTACTTTATATTCTCAAAAAAGATATTAATCTATAGGACATGGATCCTATCTAGTATCTTCAAATGGAACTATGTATAATAATCATAAAGATGATCAGAATTCAAAGGAAAGTGATTTCTAGATTAATACAAATGATATTATTGTTATTACTATAGATTTAGATGCAGATTTATTGATTCTTACTAATACAACTTAAAATTTATCACTTGAAATAGAGGCAGACTTTGGAGGAGTAGAATATTATGGATGTGCTTGTTTAAGAACTGCAGGAGATGGAATTTAAATAATTTAATGATTTTTATTATATTATATAATAATTAAGCTAACATTATAGTTTATTTAAATATAAAATATTCAAAACACTAATATATTAATGTGTAATTAATAAAATTAGATATACTTAAAATTTTTTATATTCTAATAACATGTTCAGTATATTTATTATAAGATACACAATTTTTTGTTATGGCAAGTAAATTTTTAGATACATATTACATTATATATTATTTAAATAAGATAAGTAGTTGATCATACAAATAAGGATTGTAAACTTTGTGTATTAGATGTATTTGCAGAAAAACCTATATCATAGATTATCTTAATAATAATTAAGGCATTTTTAATAGAATATAAAATATCGAATATCGATTTTTCAAATGAAAATCATTAAACAATAATTACACAAAATTGATCAATTAGAATAAAAATTCAGACATATATTATAAATAAAAATTATTTTTATTTTCTATTGATTTATTTGTAATTATTTATCATAGTATCATTTTTTACAATTAATAGCTTATTAAAATTTTTGGAGAGTAAAAATATAAAATAAATGAAACAAATTAACTCATCTATATTTGAAAAATACCCGACTAGAAATACAACTCTTTGGAAGAAAGGATTACCTACAATCCTTTAAATTGATAGAGAACTAAGATAAAATTCAAAAGAAATTCCCATTTAAGTTAGAGACGAAAAGGACAATCTAGTCTACAGAAATTGCTATCATATGATTAATTCATATCTCATATCAAATAGTTGCCACATAAACTTCAATAATTTGAACTTGAAATCTGTTATTTACAAAAATGTATTTATAGCATTAATATACTAGTTAGAAGGATTGTAAATATCAGGAAAAAAAGAGTGTTTATAAATATTTGGAAATCCAGATGTAATCTCCAAATGGAAAAATTATATGTCTAAATATACAATATAAAGAAATTTCTATAAAAAATATTAAGTACTAAAGATGATAGGGAAGGGATCTCATGCAAAAGTGTATAAAGTTGAACGCATTCAAGATTCATCCATTTTTGCTGTCAAAATTTTTAAATCAGAAAAATTAACTAACAAAGAAAAAGGACTAGTATTTTATTTAATATACATATTTATAGGATAGTTTAATGAAAGAGATAGACATAATGAGAAAATTAGACCATAAGAATGTGCTACAATTACATGAAGTATTTGAAGATGATAATAATGTTTATTTGGTTGTAGATTATTTACAAGGTGGAGAATTACTTAAATAAATTGAAAACTCATAAAATGGGTATACAGAACATTTAGTATAGAATTTAATGTAAAATTTATTGTCATCATTAAATTATTTACATTAAAAATAAATAATACATAGAGACATTAAACCAGAAAATTTAATACTTAAATAAAAGGATTGTCTAACTGATTTAGTTATTGCTGATTTTGGTCTCTCAGATATTTACAATGAATAAGGAATTTATTTGTTTTAAAGGTGTGGTACAGTTGGATATGTTGCACCTGAAGTTTTAAGAGATCAATTTTATGATTATAAAGTTGATATGTTCTCTGTAGGTGTTATTTTATTTATTTTATTAACTGGAGAAATGCCTTTCTAAGACAATAGTGATACAGATGACTTATTAAAATAAAATGCATATTGCCAAATTGATTTCAATAAGCTCAACAACAAATCAATTAGTCCAGCTGCATAAGACTTTGTTCGATTATTATTAGATGAGAATGTTAATATTAGACCAAGTGCATAATAGGCACTTCAACATGACTGGTTTATAAATCCTAAGACAAACATTGCTGTGAGTTTATCATTTACTAAATTACCTGTATTCTAAATAAGATTGGATTAGGAAGGTTTTATTAAAAGTTCTACTCCTCTTTGGAATTAAAAGGGATCTCCTTTAAGTGAATAATCACCCCTTTAACAATATCAACAAGGAGATGTTCTTGAATTAGAAGATGAAGCTAATTATTTTAAGTAATTTATTTCACCTGGATATGATTAATATGAAATAATTGAGGATTGTATTGATGAAGAAAAAACCCCATCTGAAATGGTACCTAAATATAGATTGCTTGTTAAATAAAGGAGTCTTAAATGAAATTATTTATTTTTTGTAATATTCAATAAATTTTTAACCTAGAATTAATTTTATCTCTTAATCATTGAATTACAAATTTTAATATACTTTTTATAAACTAAATGTTAAGGTAGATTTAGGAGAATTAATCTCAAATAATATCCTAAAGATTTTAATTAGTAATTCTAAAATAAATATTTTACTAACAGTTTTCAAATAAATTTTTAATAAAAATAATTAAAAAATAATGCAATAAATAATGCAATAAAATTAATGGCGTTTGTAATATTTATTTAATTTTAATAAGACAATATAATTAAAATTTTAGTTTAATTATATAATTATATTATTTTTGGAGTTATAATATTTGTTTATTTAATGTTTTTGTTTTAATATTATTATTTTTAGTACAATAATTTTGAATATCTAATAGAAAAATATTGATAAATAGCTATCTGCATTAAAAGAAAAAGAAGAAGTAAATTAAAAATTTTGAATTTCTTTCTATAATAATTAATTGTATCATATTAGCTGTTATTTAACAATATTTAAAGATTAAATTCATTATTTATTAAACAAAAACTAATAAATTAAATATATAATTTTCTGCAATTTTTCATTAATGTTGAGTTAATCCTAGATCTACAAAGAATAAAGTTCATTATTTGTAATAAAAATCTAAAGATTTTTAACATCTGTATTTAATTTTATCTTCTAATTAATAGTTTTTAAAAATTATTTATATTTGTAATCTATAATAGTTAATATAAGCCTGTAACTATTTTAAACAATAATATAATTTCAACTATTTTAATTTAAGAAAAATTATATAATACAATTTGTACATAAGATTTTTGAATTTCAAAATGGTCAATATTATGTTTGAATTTCATATTAAATAATTATTTGGTTTTTGAGTAGAAAGATTTTAGACAAATATTATAATTTGGATTAATCGAAAAGGAAAACTGAATGGATTGTTAAGAAATTATTTAAAAACTTAAAATAATAATAGCAATAATTGAATTTCTTAGATTTAAATTTAGTATTAAATTAATCTCTAGATTAATATGAACAAAATATTATTTTTAAAAAGATTTGAAAAAATTTTTGATTTCTTTTCTATGTGGAATTTTAAATTAATTATCTTAATGTGTAAATTTACTTAAATAAAAAATTTATATGAATATTTTACAAAAAGTAATATAAGATGATCAAAATTTTTATGCATAACACTATAATTAATTAAGATTTAATAATTTGTGAAATACAGAGAAGTTATAAATAACATATATAAGTATTATTTTATTTTAGAATTATTTTCCTTATTTTATGATATCATTTTGCATGTTTATTACACCATGGACAGGTTGGATATGCTTATAAATATGTATTCCATGCATCTTTGAGTGCCCCTTTTCCACAAGATTAACAATTAATTATTTAATTTTTAAGAAGTGGCATACCAGTTATAATACAAGGCTCCCATGTTTACTTACATTTAAAGCATCTAAATAATTATATTTATATAATTACTTTAATGATGCATCATATATTTAATATCCACAATCACATGGTCTAGTTGGTAATACTGGTTCTTAATTTTGATTAACAGATAACTATAGTAACCAATCTCTTATTTCTTCTTTTTCTTTGTCAGATATTAAATTCTTTTCTGGCATTGGTACATCATAAGGTGATGGTAAATCACTATTTTAGAATTCTGCTCCATCACCTAAACCATTATTATTATCTNATTCTTGGATGAAACTATTGTATAATAAATTACTGTAGATTGGGGAATAGTTGATAGTGCTGATATTGGAACAGATGACTCTGTTAATTCATAGTCGGTTCTATCAGAATTAGCAAGTAGATTAGAATCTTTTAATCCTCCTCCTGAAATTGGTACAGTTTTAGAATAATCAACTACTATCACTGCTATAAGCAAATTAAATTTCCCAAGTACTGAAGCTACATCAGGTATTTTATTAATTATTATTTTATTAGTTACTCCTACATCTCCAAGTGATGGTACCAACACAAACAATGGTAGCAATAATAATAATGGAAATAGTGGCAATAATAATGGTAATAATGGTAACTCTGGATAGACAGGTGGAAATAATAATAATAATAATAATAATTAATCTGATGATTCAGAAATTATATTGACTACTGATGAAGGTGTTAATTAATAAGAAGTTAGTGATAATACCAATAATAGTACAGCACCAGGATCTATTTAAAAATCTATCAAAAAGAGTGAATCTTCATCATCCACTGTGGTCATAGTTGTTTCAGTGATATGTTCTGTAATAGGTGTTTCAATCCTTATCTCAGGATTGTTATATTATAAGAAGGTTAAATTAGCTAAACTAATGGCTGCTAGAGCTCAAAAGGTGGATAATGAATTCTTCAAAGTAAACATCACTGAATAATAACTACAACACTAATAACATAATGAGTGATAAATATTTTTACAAAATATAAAGTTAGAATTATTAAAATTAATTTTAAAATAAGTTAATATTTTATTTACATTGATAAATTTTAACTTATTATTCTTTTCTTTTATATATAATTTCATTTTGCGTGTTTATTGCACCATGGACAGGTAGGATATGCTTGTAAATATGTATTCCATGCATCTTTTAGTGCCCCTTTTCCACAAGATTAACAATTAATTGTTTAATTCTTAAGAAGTGGCATACCAGTTATAATGCAAGGCTCCCATGTTTACTTACATTTAAAGCATCTAAATAATTATATTTATATAATTACTTTAATGAAGCATCATATATTTAATATCCACAATCACATTATCTAGTTGGTAATACTGGTTCTTAATTTTGATTTACAGATAATTATAGTAACCAATCTCTTATTTCTTCTTTTTCTTTGTCAGATATTAAATTCTTTTCTGGCATTGGTACATCATAAGGTGATGGTAAATCACTATTTTAGAATTCTGCTCCATCTCCTAAACCATTATTATTATCTGGATCTTCAATAACTTCATATATATCTAAATATCTATTCATTAAAACAAATGCTAATCCTAATTAATTTGTTTTCTTAGCAACTCTTCCAGCATCCAAATACAATTAATCAATTCTTACTAAATCACAGTATCTTAATAAAGAAATACAAGTTTAAGCATGTAATTTAACAATACCATCTTAAGCATATTAATTTCTAAGATTGAGTAAATGAGCAACAATACCAAATTTTAAGAATTTCTTACCAGTTTCACTTTTTAATTCATGAGCAGCTTCTAATCCTTATATAAATCCATACAAAGCTTATCTAAGTAATTTTAATTCTTTTGGATCACATTCAACAAAGATTTCGATAGCTAGATTCTCATAAATTGGATAATTTTATTAGATGATTGGCATTCCATAAGTAGCTAATGATTGAATTGTTTCACTGAATCTACCTTATTACATAGTAATTTTAACATATCTCATTAAATATTTATTTAAATATTCAACACCATGTTTATCAGCTAATTATAAGCATTATCCCCAATCATTTTTTTATGCTAACATTTCCATAGCAGCAGCAACATCTCCAGTTTCAATCATTACATTAGCTTATCCTGTTGATGCTCCATATTTACGTTATTCTTTGGTAATGTAATCCATTAATTTAGTATTTAATTCTTTATTATTAATCATTTAAGCAACTTACTTTGCTTTCTCAAATTCTCTACCTTAAACATAAGTAGTTACTGCTTCTTAATATTATCCAACTTATTCATAAAGATATGCTGCTGTTTCTAATTTCTTAATTTCTATTAATCTCTTACAAACTATCTATACAATTCTTGGATATTTATCTTTATCATAATTGGCTGCTATCTATATAGCTCTTTCCCATGCTCTTGTCATTACATCTTCACTTTAAGTATTTTAAGGTGTAACTTCTAAATAGATTTCTATAGCCTTTAAATAATCTCTCTATTCTTCCCAAGTTTAAGCACTTTAATATAAATCCTCACCTGTCATATTATATGTATTAGCTACATTACCATATTTATTATTTAATTCTGCAACCATATGAGGAGCATGACTCTTAGCAATTTTCAAAGCCAATGGATAATTACCTTAATCAACATACATTTTTATTGCTAATTCAGGTCTTTTACCTTAAATAAAAGCTTGTTCTGCTTTTTAAAGATCTTTCTTCTCTATAAAGAACTTTGCTTAACTGATTAAAATTTAAGTAACAGATTATGGTTCATATTGACGAGCAACTTATAATGCACTTGTATAATCTCCCAGATGTTCATACATATTTATGGCTTCTGATGCTTTACCTGCCTTAATGAAATTTTCTTCTGCTTCTTTGTATCTTCTTTCATCTTCTAAATGACAAGCATATTTAAAATGCACATCTTATAATTTATGTTTAGCATGTAAATTAGACAATTTAAATGCTTCTTCAAATTCATGTCTGTCTGATTAATATTCTATCAAAGCATCAACCAAATTTAATCTTTGAAGCATCTTCAATCCAGCATCTGGACCTAAGGATTCTGCCCATAATTTAGCTTATTAGCATGTTTCTTTCTCAGATCCATACATTTTACAACATCTAATTGCTTCTTCCCATTGATTATGAGTCTTGTACATTTACATAGCTAAATGCCATGATCCAGCTTCAATATAATGTTGTTCAGCTCTTTTAAGTATGTTTTCTCTTTCTAATTTTTTTGCAATTCCCAAATGAATATCTTTTAATTTTTAAGGAGTGAATTTGCTTGCAATTCTTATAACACTTTCATATTGTGATAGGTTTTGGTACATTTATATAGCAGTATCATACTCTTAAACTGTTAAATATAATTTTTCAGCTTCTTTGTATTTACCAGCTTATTCAAATTTCTTACCTTGATTCAAATATAATTAAACAATTTCTTCAGGTAAATATTCTCTAGCTATTGAAAGTGCTTTATCCCATTTACTAGCTTTTACATACATTTCAAAAGCCTCAATAGGAGAATTAGCCTTAATATAATATTTTTCAGCAAAATCATATTATCTAACATCTTCATAATGTTTAGCAACTTATCTATAATAAGGTCTTGAAACTTCAGCAGATTAATTTTATAATAATTAAATAGCTTTAGTCCATGATCTACTATAGACTGCTGCTTCAATAGCTTTCTAAAATTTGCCTGCTTCTACATAATGATTGATGGCACTTTCTGTTTCCTTATTTTCAACTAAATAATTTGCCCAACTTTCCTCCAATTATTTAACTAATTTAGGATCTTTTCTTTTAGCCAATTCAACTGCCTTTTTGAATACATTTCCTTTAATATAACAATTCAAAGCTTATTAATCATCTTCCATTTATTCATAGAATTCTCCACCTTTTTCATACATACCACTTTAAGCTAAAGATTAAGCAATTCTTTCCAATAAATCTTATGGGAAAGACATATTACAATTAAATACAATATTTGCAGCTTTTGCTGGTAATCCACCTTATAAATAAAGATTAATAGCATTAATAAAATCACCTTCATTTTCTTTTAATTCAGCTGCCTTAGATTCTTATCCAGTTTCAATTAACCATTAATAATAATTTTCTTTAAGAACTTTAACTTATTCATGACCTCTTTTTTCAGCAATTTTAATAGCTTCATCCCATTTATGTAAATCTTAATACATTCCCATAGCCTCATTTACTTCATTATGATTAAGTAATAATTCTTCAGCCTTAGTAAATTATTTATCTAAAATAGCCAATTTAGATTAGACTTTATAATATGATATTCCATCCTTCTTACCAGTTTCTTCATAATATTTTTATATAAGTCTATTAATACCTCTCAAATAAGATGCTCTAGCAACATCTCCTAAAGCAGCATAACAATGTTCAGATACAGATAAATTTTATTCTTCCAAAGATAATTATGCTAAAACTTTCCAATTTGCTTCAGTATCTGATGTCAATTCTAATTTATCTAAAATTGAGGCTGCCTTTTCAAGATCACGTCCTTCAATTGCAAATCCAAATTCAATTAATGCTTAATCCAATTTATAAGCAACTTTGCTTTAACCTTCACTTACAATAACAGAAGTAGAACCAGCTTATGTAGGTGTACTTGGAATTCTTTCAATTTCTTCTACATCTCCTTTTATTGTATAAAGTGTAACTTTATCAGGATTTTCAATAGAATACCAAACACACAAATTATTTCTATTTTAAGCAACAATAACTTCACTTTCTGGTACCCATTAAGCATAATTACAAAATGATAATAAAGTATGTTTAAATGCATTTTTGATTGAATATAAATACAATTATCTTCTTTTATCTCTAAATATTAATCTATTTGCATGAGAATTCAATTCTAAGAAATCTATTTTTGTATCATGAGCAATTGTAGCAATAATACTTTTAGTAGTTAAATCTTATATTTAAAGTGTTTATAAATCTAATAAAAAGGCAATAACTTTAGTTTTATTTTAACCAGTATAACTAACTTTAGCACTAATAAGTGAATTTTTCATATGTTCAGTTCTACATGTACCTAATATACGATCACTTCCATATTCTATTAAAGTTAATTCACCTGCATTAAATACCATACAAATATTTTCATTTGTAAAATCAAACTTTTCATTTCCACTTCCTCTCCAACTTACTTCTGATGTCTTTCCTGTAGCTAAATCTCCTACAATCAATGTTTCATGTGTTTTAGCAACTACAAATCTCTCTTTTTTTATATCAATCTTTGATATTTCAGCCTAAGATGATCTAATAACTGCTTATTAATTTGTTGATAAAACTTAAATGACAATTTAAGATGGACCAATATAATTCAAATCATATTTTCCTTTAAATCTAATCTTTTTCATTGAAATATCCCATGCATCAACTGAACCACATAATGAACCAGTTATTAATTTTGATGAGTCATTTTTCCAACATAATGCTGTAATTGTATAATAATTCTCTATATGTTTAACTCCTATTTCTTCCCATTATGATCTTTTTTGATTATATGTATAAAGATAAAATCTATTAAAATTACCTAATACTATAATATCTCCATTAGGACTACAAGCACCTACTGAAAAGTCCTTGCATTTTTCATCTTAAGTGTAATCAAATCTTTAAACTAGATTACCATAATTATCATAAAATGAAACTTTTTGATCATTACCAGCTGCTGCCACATGTTAACCATAAGCTAAAGCATAAGGTATAGAATGATGCACTACTAACTTTTATGATTATTAAGTGTCTAAATTGTAACTGTATACTGATCCATCAAGATGACCTGATACAACCATATCTCCATCTCTATTAGTTGCCATACTAACTACATATGATTCTGTTGTGAATGCTATTTAAGACTAATAACATTAGTATAATTCATTACTTTATTATTTTTCAAAAATCCAATCTTCACTTTTCCTTCTGCTAATCCAAATATGATATCATTCTCTCTTTATGCTGGCCATATCAATGTTGTTATTGAAGAAGAGGCTGGGAATTTATTACAGATAGTCTTTTTCTCTTTAAATTTTGCACCAATCTTATATACATAAACTATATTATCAGATTGAGCAACAGCTATTTTTGTTGAATCTGGAGAAAATTCTATTGCTCTTACTACATAAGATTTCTATTGAGTCTTATCTGAGGGCTTCGTTGGGAAATTGTCCTCCTTACCCAATTAATCATTAAATAATAATATTTTCTAATTTTATTATCTATAACTCTTACTCTATCAGCAGTACAAACACCAAGCTTTTGACCATTGTAAGACCATGCTAATCCACTTACTTTTTACATGCCATCTAAAGCAGGCATAATATTAGAGGAATACTTAAGTTGCATTAATTTATTTAAATATTAATACCTTTTATATTAAATTAATCATCGATTTATAAATATTTAATCTATCTTTTATAACATTATTTCAAATATCTACATATAATTATTTCAAATTTAAGTCTCATAATCTTATAACATTTAAATTAGATTGATATATAAAAATTCTTATTTATTGATTAAGCTATTCTATTTGTTTTTCAATTTTAGAGTTGAATAACTCTTTTTATATTTGTATACTTGATTAAAATAAAGTAAGAAAAAATAACTAAATCTATTTATATTTATAGTAATTTTAAATAAGATACTTTTTGTAACTGAGAAATTAGTTAAGAAAATTTAATAGGTGAAATCAAATAAATAATTGGTTATCTTTTTAAATTAAATCTTAAGATTTATGGAGATCATTTAACTTTAATTTATCATAAAAGAGCTTGCCTTTTAAATGAACTCCTGATCTATGGGTTCATTTCTATGGACTTATTTGGAACCTTAAAAGGAGTGTTAGTTTTTTGAATTAATGAAATTAGTTTGATGATATTGTTAATTTACATAAATATTAAACATTAACTTAAACAAATAGAATAAATTAAAAAAATAGATTATTTAGAGTTCTGTTTTTATTCAAGAAATTTCAACTATGTTCTTTGCAATATAGATACAATTTTTAATAAATTAATGAAAGTGATGTGAAATTAAAAATATTATTTTAATATTAATGGGAAGGCAATATTTCAATTATAATTTATTGTATTACATTTTGAAAGGAAGTATTTAATATTTGAAAAGAATGAGAATTTAATTATGATAAAATTTTAAAATTTATATAGAATAGCATCATCTTTTTGAAATATATAAAATACTCTCTCTAATATAAAAATTTTGAATGATATATTTAGTTGAAAATAGGTAAGATTATTGTGTAATATATGAGGATCAACAAATTGATTAATATGAATATTTTTTATAAATATATATTATGTAAGGAAATGACATGTAATCAGATGAGATGTAGAAAGATGCAGAAATTAAAATGATTCAAGAAAGAGAGTAGAATGAAGAGCTTTAATAATTAGAAGAGAAAAAGTCTCTCTTTTCTAACACAACCTAAAGATGGATATTAAGGATTTTAGATGTATTAGGATTAATTATATTTCTTGGGTATTGCTATCTCATTCAAAGTTATCTCTCAACAATCTATTTCTTGATATTCATGCTGATTATTCAAACTTGGGAAACATAGTTGTATAAAATAGGTATGTTTGAGAAAAGAGATTCTGATAAAAAGGTAAATACATAGCATATAGAAAGGTTTACAAAGATCCATTAGATTTTCTTGAGAATTATCCTAAAATACGAGAATAATAAAAGTAAAGGAAAACAATTGCAGGTTATAATCAAAACATGGAAGATGATGTCACAGAAATATCTGGATTAGATGAAACTGAAATTAAATATAAACCCTTATATTGGATAATATTCAAGGATTAAAACTATGCAATATGGATGTTTCTTTTGATATTTTCAGCATTAAGTTTAGTAATGAAAGGGACATTTATAGGAATAATTAAAAATGATCCTTAATAAGCAATAAATATTATGTCACCATATAATTATGAAGGTATTGAGATATATTTTGAATTGCTGAAAAATAACAAATTTAGTATTACTACTAAAGACTATATTAAAATATTTTTACCAAACTCGCTTATATTTATATTTTGTTGTTTTGTAATTGCATTAAGAAGAGTAAAGAAAAAGAAATATTTAGAATAATTTGGAGAACCCATAAATAGATAAATATTTTCATTCTATTTTATAATTATTTGGTTTGTTTTAGCATTAATTTTAATTTGTAATTAATCAATAATAGGATATATTTATTTTATTTTGGAAATGATAGTTGGTTTTAGATTCTTTTAAAAAGAAATTATAATAACAAAATTTGATAAATTAGTTTTAAAAATCCTAAAATTTACATTAATAAGTACATTATTAATTGTTTATTTTGCTGGTACTCCAATAATAACTTAATTTGTTAATTAAAATTCATATTGGCCATAATATTTTGGTTTAGATATTATGTATTGGATGAGAACAGATAATTAATGGAATGTAAAATATTATTTTGAAATAGAGTTACGTATTCATGGTTGGAGGTTTGACATTATTTGCATTCTTATGCATAGTAACAGAGTAATTTGCAAATGAAGATAGAAAAATATTATTTAGAGATGCTATTTAAGAATGTATTACCCATTATGAGATTTATCAATTTAAAAAATCAAAATATAACACTACTATAATGGAAGATAAAGAGACTCCTAATATTTAAGTATAATAAAAAGAAGAAGATGAATTAGAAATTTAAACAAAATAATAATAATTAAGTGATGAAAATGAATTAAAATAAATGATGCCTGGTTAACCTGTTAGAATGTCTCATGTAGATGAAGGTGAAGAAGAAGATAAAAATAAATTACTATATAATTTAAATAAAGCACTCTTTTCTTTAGGAAATAACTTTTCTAAATTTATTGATCAACCTATTGTTACACTTAGATTACTCCAAGTATTGATGATAACTATTGTTATAATGTAAAAGACTTATGAATCATTATTATCTGTTATTTGGATTATGATTACTGGTATATTTAATTGATTATATCATAGGTTTCACACTTTAATATAATATTAATTCATTTACATCATTGGTTTTGGCATTGCCATCTGTATTGATCAATTTTATAGTATTTTATTACTAATGTATACCTAATATGAATGATCCCAATAATCCATTTTAGATTTGTAAATTTTAAGATTAGCTTCCATCAGAGACATGTTAAAAAATTGGTTTTTTTAATCTTGATAAAGAATACAAATAAGTTATTAATGTAATTATTTACAATAATTTATTAGCTTCTTATAATGAATATCACTATTTATACTTTTTTTTTATTTCTTAGATAAGTTCATAAATATGATTAATTTAAATCAATATAAATTTCAGTTAAAAGATCTTAATAATAAATTTAAGAAAAAAAGAAATCTCTAAAAGTAATTAAAATAATATATATATTTTTTAGGATGTAAGTTGGTTAACCTTAACATTTGCCATTTTATTAAAAGCCTCATATGTTGTTGCTTTAATCATAGTATATTGGATTGGATTTTTCGATGTCAATCTTATATAAGGTGTTCTAGTAGTATTTCTTATGATTTTTATTATAAATGATTCCACTCTCTGTATTTACAAATAGAAAAATGAAAAGAATGAAATTAAGGAATATGTTGTTCCCTTCTCATTTAAATATTGGATTATATTTTTAATCTACATATGCATAATCACATCTTTGAGATATATATATATTTTGTTCTTTTAGGGACAAACTAATATATAAGAAGATAAACTTTGGATTATCAGTTTGATTGGAATAAACAATTAAGAACATTATGACATTCTATTTTGGGTATTATTTTATTTTGCAGCCCTTTAATACGATTCCTATAGATCTAAGATTTATCTTAAATATTCAAATTAAATAGTTAATATATTTTTAGCAAAGATCAGTGATAAGGAAAAACAAACTAAAATAAGAACTACTATAGAAACTCTATATTTGTTATTTATGAAAACAATCATTTGGATTACATTCACATTAAATATTTGCTTTATTATTTTTACACCATTTTCTTTTGTTAATTTAGGATTATTTATTTTTATAGGAGGACTCTTTTTTTATTATACATTTCAATTCATTAGAGATTAAGTAAATTATAATTCCATGTCTAGATGTTGGTATTTATATTTATATTCACTTGTAATGGCATTTATAATAAGATATATATTTTAATTTATTTGTTTACCCAGTTATAATTAAATAATGGATTCAAATCTAGATAATCTGTATACAAATTTATAACTTAAATATCAATAATATGGATTTTATTAATATAATTAAAGCAAACTAAGAATTGAGTACTTACCTGATATGATTGCCATATTTTTTGGAGCTATTTCTTTGAATACTTATTAATTTTTTAAAGAAGCTTAAAAGAATAAGTTAAAATTGGCAAATATGACAAATCAAACTCCACATACTATAGAAAAGCCACTATTATCAGCTGATTCATTATTAGAGTAGTCTGGTTCAAGTGATGTCGTAATTACTGATAAAATTGAAAAACAATAATAGAAAGACTTAGAAGATTTAGTCAAGATTATGAAAATCAATATCTTAGAAAAATATAAATTCCTTTAAAAGCCTATAATGTTCATAGCAGAAATTAATACAGATTTACTTACTTTATATGTTGTATTTTCTGTAGTCTTTTTTGTTTAATCTATTGCATCTTTTATTATTTTGGTTTTATATTTAAGTTATTTTGTCACTGTTCATAATGCATTATTAGATAATGTATAAGAAAAAAATTTGTTGGCAAGATTAAAATAAAGTATATTTATATTTTTATTTATTAGAAATTGTGAATTTGAAAAAAAAATATGTTGATTACAATTCTAAATAAATAGATCATAATGACAATGAGGATGAAATCAATTTAGTTTAGACTACAAATCTAATAGCAATGACTAGAATGAGAATTCGTATTGAAAAAAAAGTTTCAATTTGGAAAATCTCATTTAGTTTTAGTTGTTTTTGTGTATTTTTAACTTATTTATCATAATATTTATCTTTAGTGATATAATAAGTTGATGAAGAAAAATAATAAGGAATTTTAGATGCTTAATTAGGATTATTTATATTTGGTACATTTGCTTAAGAATCTAATGCTTAAACATGTTTTTGTGGATAGTTTGATTTAAATAATAAATGTTATGGATCTATCAATAATTCATCATCTACTATTTTTGATGAGGTATTATTCTATTTAATACTTGTATTTGCAAATGTTGTAGATGCTGGATGTACTATGTTTCTTAAGGAATAACTTGAAAAGGAAGAATAAAGTATATCAAAATTTGAACATCAATTTTAACTATAAAAATAAAAAACTGAATCAAGATAAGTTATTTCAAGATCGATGATTCATACTCTGAAAGGTATTCATAATCAAGCTGAAGGAGACAGTCCTACTTAGTTCATTTAAGAATAATAAGAAATAGATAATTAAAAAGAGTTAGAAGAATTTAAACAACAATATCCATTTTTATCTATTAATATTATTAATAAATATGATTAACCATAAGAATTAAGTTTAGAAGACCTGAAGAAAATTTAAATTGCTGCTAAAGATATTAATTTCTATAATAACAGATCTAGAATATTTAAATTAAATTTAACAACTGCTGGATTTGTTACATTGCAAAGAGTATTTATTTTAATTTTATTATTCAATACTCTTTTAGCTAATAATATATTTTCTTTAGTATATTTGGGTGTAGCTACATATTTATTTTTATAAAAAACTGGAGCATCCAATATTAAGATCTTAAATACATTCTCAGTTGTTGCTATTTGGATATAATATATTATGATATACTTTTTAAATTATGAAATAGAGGATAATGATAAATTATTACCTGTTATGGCTTCTACATATAATAAAGATGATTTTAGTGTAATTAAAATGGCTACAGTATTCTAAAATTATCCATATTTCATTCCCTATCTTGGTTTTGATAATGGAGCCATTATGGATTGTTCAAAATTTGACTAAAATTCAAGTTCTTCTAATTCAACTGAAACAAATTTCTTAGAAAGTCATTATTGTATTACTAATAATAATATTGAATGGATCTTTATTTTAAATACTCTTGTACTTTCTCTTATATATTTGTATTTTTTACTCCTACAACATTTATCTAAATTGATTTTATCTACAACAATTAAAATGGAATTAGATTTGTAATTTACTTAATCTATTTTATAAAAGCTTTACTCAAAGAGCAAATTCTCTATCCATTTAAATTATTAAAGTTGGAAAAATAGAGTATATTCAACAATGTCAGGTATAATTTAATAGGTTATTAAAATTAATCATATTGTCTTTATTTCAATTATCATTTTATTAGCTTAATCAAATAGAATATTGTTAAATTATTTTGAATTTATCATGGCTGTATTGTTTTTGGTTATTTTTGAATTGGTACTAACATCAAATAGAGAATCAAATTTAAGAAGAGAAAGCATTTATTTCAAAGTTCTTTTCTATTTAGCAGTATTTACTATATCAATGTATACTATTTTGAGATTGCCATGGATTTTGAATTGGTGTGCATCTTAAGCAGAAGAAAACTTTACTAAAGCTTTAGATTATTAAAATGAGTTTATTTGTTTAGAAATTTTCGAAATGAAACTTGGAGGAATGATCTTTATTATATTCTTTATTTCACTTCACTTTGATTTAATAAATTCGGAATAATTTATTGAATCTTTAAATAGATTTATGATTCTTGAACAATAACAATCCAAAATGATTTCAAGGGCACTTGCCTATCATAAGAATTTTAAGAAATTCACTGCAATAATATAAGTAACAGTATAAAAAGAATTATTTAAAAAAACATAAGAAAAAGCTTAAGAAAAATTAAAAATGTGGCATGCAAAATTGCTTGATAAAACTAAAGATAAAGTCATGATGGCTGATGACATGCAATTAGAATATTAAAAATAAGAATAATAAGAATAATAATAATAATAGCCTAATTAGTAATAATAATAATAATAATAATAATAATAATAATAATAATAATAATAATAATAATAATAATAATAATAATAACAATAAGATTAATAATTCTAACAATAGTAATAATAGATATAACCAAATAGTGAATTGGAAATACCAGTTAGAAAAGTATTTGTTAGTTAATTTGAAATTGCTTAAGAAGAAAGAAAAAGCGCAGAGTTGCCAGAAGAAAAATTATTAAAAGATACTAAATTTCAAAGTTTAAGTAAATCATAGAAAACATGTATAGAAATTATTGCTTATATTTAATCTTTCAATAATAAATTCAAATTTATGAGTCTACCAAATATTATGGATTATTTACTATCTTAAAACATTATTTTAAAAAGAAGAGTTTAATTCCCTTTGTCTGATTTCCTTCAAGAAAATTATAGATAATTTGAAGAAGAATTATTATATATAGATTAATTTTATTCACATTTACATAAAAAATTAAGAGCCAGTCCAAATTAAATTTTAGATATTACTTAAATAACAGATGAATTAATCTCAAGATTAGAAAAATCTTCATATAATAATTCAAAAATAGGTCGAAAAATGCAAAAGATTATCTCATCAATGAAGTTGACTTCAAAATAATCAAGGTAAGCATTGATCTAGTCTTAATATTCTATATCACCTTAAATATAATAATAACCTATTGAAGAAGATATTAATTATGAAAATTATATTAAATCTACAGATTTATATTTTGTAAAAATAGTTGATGACAAATAATTAATTTATGTTGAAAATACTAAATATTCATCAGCTCTTACAAAACTATCATTAAGTATTCTTATATTTAGAATCATTACAGAAATCTTTAGTTTAATAATTACATATTGGATGCCTTTTTGTTTTTTGCTTATTATTTTTTATTATGCAGTAGATAGTGGATTATTAGGAGGTGTTTTACCGTTTATGTTATTTTTATGGATATTAATTGATGAAAAAGTATAATCAAAATTATTTTGGATGATTGCTTTTTCAATATATTTCTTTATATCTCTGTTGGTGTTTGCTTATACATTAAGTGGAGTAGGAGAAAAATAGAGTCAAAAGAGGAGTAATGGAAATAAGATGGCTTGGTATTATCCTCTTTATAATGGAAATCAAAGTATTTCATATGAAGTTATGTTAATGATTTTTATAATCTTTTAAGTTTATTTTGCCAAATAATATGGAGTATATTATAAGAGCTTATTAGATATTGAAAATATGTTTTAAGGTTATTTGAGAATGAAAATCAATAAATTTACTAAATATATTAAGAAAGGTCTTATTTAGAATTAAAACTTGGCAAAATAAGATGACTAAGAAAAATTAGTATTTGAAGAAGATTTTTATGATCTTTAAAATTAACAAGAGGAGAATAATTAATTTTAATTGAAAGAAAGCGTTGAAATAGAAAAAAGAATTATTGAAGATCCCAAAATTTTATAGAAAGATTCCTCAAATTTATTTGAAAGAATATTTTCTTACAAGTTTTCAAGACCAGGCGTTGATTTATATCCAATTACAGCTAGTATTTAGATCTTAATATTAATTTACACTCTTATATTTTTTACTAATATGGTTAATGAATCAACAAAAATCAATAATATTTTAAAGACAAATTAAATACCAACATCTTTGATATGGGCATTACTTGTTGAATTTATATTAATGTTTTTTGAAAGATATATTACAATGAAAGGTAATGCAGATGTCGTTGATAGTGATAATAAAAAACAGTCATTTTTTTAGAAATATAAACTCTAATTTTTACTCAAATTTTTATTATAGTTGTGCACTGTAATCCTAATATATTGGTTGATTTTCTTAAGATTAGGAAATCCCTGGGGTTAAAATGCTATATATGACCATGATTCTAATTCAGCTGCATCATATTCGAAATATAAATCAAATGGTTACATTCAATGTTTTTTCATATTATACTCTGCATATTTCACTGTTTCTGCACTTTAGCTTAGATTTGGTTATAAAAAGCTAAAACTTAGAAATACTTTATTATAATCATATAATTTAATATCATATGCAATAGCTTAAACTTATTATGCAATTCCATTTTTATTTGAACTTAAAGTTTTAATGGATTGGACATTCTTAAAAGTAAAAAATAAATTAATTTATAATAGACTTCTTTAGATGTATTTTAATGGTTTACTTTAGAAGACATTCATGGGATAATGTATTTTACAAAAAATTAATCTAAAGATTATTTAGAAAAACCATTAGGTAAAAGGATCTCTGGATTTAAAAAATGCACTTGTGGTTGTTGTTTGGTTTTAGTCATTTTTGCTTGCATTTTTGGTCCTTTGATATTATTTTCAAGTTTAAATCCAGCATCAGAACTAAATCCTGTTAGAGGTGGAGAATTTTAACTTTCATTAATAAACACTAAAACAGCTCTAAATGTAGTATTATATCAAACTAATTAACTTTATGGATTAGAAAACACTTTAGAAGACCAAAATGAAATCAATACAGCCTTAAATTAAACTTGCACTAATTCAATAATTAATAATGCACCAAAATAAGGAGAATTATAACAATTTTAATTATTAAATTTTTCAAATAATAATTGGGATATTTCCTTTCCTTTATATTAACAATTGATATAATAACTTAATGAAACAATAAATGGAGAAGTTGACCATGAATTTTTCTTTAATTTATCATTTATCTTTACAAGAGATTAATAATAAATTATACCAACCAAAAACTATATTTAATATCCTACAACTGGAAATGAATATTTAAAAAATCTTTAGAACATGAGCTCTTTACCAATACCAATTTTATAAAATATTTAATAATTATTAAGTTGCAGAAATCGTGTAAATATAACTACAAATCCAATGTAAATTTAATTAGAAAATTTTTATATTGAAACTGTATAATTGTACTCAGCTGATGGAACTTCTTTTAAATCAAAACCTATTTATGAGTAGGGAGTTTAAAGTAATGCAAGTGCTAGTTTATCATTCATTTGTTCTGGAAGTACTCCTTTGGATGGTCAATCTTGGTGGACTCTTGTTTATGATGGTAATTCATGTTTATTAGAAACATGTGACAAACCTAGTAAAAAAGATTAGCCTAATGGTTTGATTATGTTTGTCATCTCAGATACTTTTTCCACCCTAACTTAAGGATTTAGCATTATAACAATTTATACATCAGTTATTTTACTTATTGGAACTTTTATAAGATCATTTTTTTCTGGATAAATTTGGATGCTTGAATTCAAAGGGATGGTACATCCTGATGATTTAATTATGATTTGCTAAGCTATATCTATTGCTAGATCTTAATAAGATTTCAAAAAGTATTATATACATTGTTATTATTTAGTGAAAATATTTTATACTTTGAATTGATTGATATTCTTAGATCTCCTGAAATTGTAAAAGTAATGACTGGAACTTGGACAGAAGAACTTAAAAAAAAAGAAAATGAAAGAGAACAGAAATTGTAGTTAGAAAATTAAGAATAATAATTGTTTCTATAATAATAGGAAAAATAACAATAATAAATATCAAATAATAATGGATAAAAATAAAAATAAGATTGATTTTTATTAAATTTATTTGCATAAATATACATATTAAATTGATCATTCCACTATAATGTCATCTTATTATAGTTTTTCTATTACTTAAGCTTCTAATTTAAGTATATTATTTAATGCAGTTTAGTATTTGTATTTAATTTCATTAATCTCTTACAATTTAGAGACAATTTCCTTATTTTCCTATTGATACGATAAAATTGGTTAAGATTGATAATGGATTGTACTCACTGGTGGTCTAGGAGATGGTACTTGTTAATTCGAAAATCTCCAATCTTTATTGTTACGTTCCCATGAGCTCTTATGACTATATCGATATGGTCGTTAGGGAGACCTAAAAGAATCTAAATCTCTATATCTATCTGTATCTCTTTCTCTCTCTTTCTCTCTTTCTCTTTTCATCTCATCAATAGCCTCCATTACTTCAGCTTTTTGTTTCCTCCTTGTATCTTATTATTATTGATATCTTGATAAATTTTCTTTCAGAACATCTATAGTCTAATTCAATTGTTAAATATGTTAATCCAATTACTATCTTTCATTCTACAATAGACCAATTTAATCTTCTAAATCTAGTATAACATTTCTTTGATATTCAATAGTATCATAAAGATCCTAAACATCATCTTGTTACAATTTATTTTATAATTCATTGATCTTATTTTCATAAGCTCTTCTTTCTGCATAGAATTCAATATCTTTTGTGTTGATTTATGATCTTTATAATACTTCCAAATGCTATCTCAACTCATATAATTCATTTTGTCTTTGTTTCTCATATTTCAATATCAACTCTTTCCAATTTTCAGCTTCTGGGTACTTTTGCACATTACTCTGCAATAATAAATCTATTCTCTTCATAAATTCTTTAATCATTTGTTACTTTTCTAATTCATGTTGTTCTTTTAGCTTTTATATAATATTATCGTTCATACTATTAAAATTATTTTATTTATACGTCAATAATTATATTTACTTTAGTAGTTGAAATAAAATATTTATAATTTTGAGTAATATAAGGTAAGTTGTTATTTAAATTGGATAATGATCAAACAACATAAAAATAAAAGTTTCATAGAATGTTTAATATACTTTTAGAATTAACGAATTAACGAATTATAAATATATATATATATTATATTTTGGATAAGAATTTAATGTAAAATTAAGGAAGAAGCAAATATACAAAATTCTTAATAGTTTAAAAGAATTTAGGCAAGTGGAAAACTAACTAAAAAGAAGTGTGAGAATTGAAAATACATTTACTAACAAATTTATATTTTTCATTTTAAATTAATTAAATGACACAAAAGAATTGTGAGGCAGTATGTTGTGACAAAGGAATATTGATTGAAGACAAATGTAGATGTGATATTGGATCGTTTGGAGAGGACTGTAGTCAAAATTTGTAAGACATTTATATTGCCCCCTATTATACATTTATTGGGATCTATTGTGTTGCATTCTTTTTTATATTATTAGTAACTATTAGATAATTTTAAACTTCTTTAAAGACTCAAAGAATTCCATCTTATTATACGTAATATGATGTATGATTATTTTAGTTTTTTTTAATATGCCTACGCTTTGATTGGATCTCCTTAGAATTATATCTTAGTCTTAACAATGGTTTTATCAATATGTAAATTGATATGGCTGATTCTGGATCCTTTCGAAATCTATGTAATATAATTTACTTATAAAGTTGATAGAGTGGGAATACTACAGTCATTGAGAGACTGTTAGCAGAAGTGGTATACACTTTACTATTTTATATTTATGGTTGTTTATTAATCGTTTGGTATACTATGTACGATGAGATTTCATATAATATTTATCAAGGAGAGACAAACAAGCCAAGGAAATGGATTTTTACTTACTATAAGGAAGCATTAAAGATTCGATTATTTATTGTGTTTTTGGTTTAGATAACGGTAAGTACATTAAATGGTAAATTAATTAATAATTTAAGGTTTACGAAGAGGTGTACGATATCCAATATTTCTGATGGTTTGTTACATATTTTTGATGGCAAACTTCTTTTTGTTCATAATAGAATTTATAATATACGGATCATCATTGTAAACTTGTATTAAGGATTAGATTAAAATATGTAGATCATAATATAAAATTTAATATCAAGGAATGGAAAAAGCAATTTAATTATAAATATAGAAGGAAGATAGTCTTAGTAAATCACCAGAGTCTGTTTTAAGAATGGCAAAATATTCTAGATAAGGAAGTATTGAAGAATAGAAGAATGAAATTTAAGATGAAGTAAAATAGATGGATGAACCAAAATTAAAGTTAGGTTAAACAAAAATAAAATCTGTATCATTTGCACGTACATTTGTAAAAGGAATGAGAGGATCATCATTTTTTAGATAAGAGAGTTTGAAATAATTGAAATCAAATAAATCTAATTAATAAAATTAAGATTTAAATAGTGATTAATCTGCAAAAGACTTAGATAATTAATTTAAAGAAGAACCTACTGATGAAGAAATTAATAGTTGTTGTTTAAATGAGAATTAATCTAATTCAATGAAATGGGAAAATGAAGAAGATAGATAAGCTTATCAAGAAACTGTAAAAATGTAAATTAAAGCTGTTAAAGAGACAAAAGATACTACTGAGAAAAGAAAGGAATCAATAAATTAATAACAATAATAAAAATTTATAGAGAGAGGGGAATAGAAAAAATTGAGTTATTTAGGAACTAGTTAATAAGATTACAAAACATCAATTCATTAGTAAAATGATGAAGATTAAGAGAAGTTTAATTTGAAATCATCTAATTTAGCAATAGATAGAAAAATATTATTTAAGATTTAATTATTAGTTTACTTTGGAATAATATTGGAAATTCTATTTGGAGGATTAAGTATAGTTGTTTTGGTTACAGATTTAATTCGTGATCCTATTGGAGTGTTGGTGTATTTATATGGGTCATCAACATTATAATTTTTTTCTTTGATAACAGTGTTAAAATTATTTAGAGACATAAAGAATTAAGAAATCAAGAATTTAATTTGGATTTAGAAGGTGGGAAATCAAAAGAACAAGATTAATTAACAATATATGTTTTCAATTCCTTAGGATTAAAAGGAGGATGTATAGAAACTTAAATTCTAACAACGAATTAATATGAATACTTTATATTGATATTATTATGAAAATAAGTGTATCTCTCATAAATCATTATAATATTTTGTAGACTTTTTTGTTCTAAGTAAGTTGTTTTTTTAATAATTTCATTCTTTAAAAGTAATAATATAGTTTACAAAAATGAAAAGAAAAATAAAAAATTTAATAAAATATATTCATTAAAAAAAATAGAATACTTAATAAATATATTGAAAAATCATTTTAATATTGATAATGAAAATATAATTAAATTAATGATAAAATTATTTTTCAATGTTTAGAATCATTAATATCCAAATTCACTTTAGAAGGTCTCAAAAGATACGAAAATCCAAATGATTATCTAAATAAAAAACACATGATTACCTATTTACTCCAGAAACACTTACACGTAGATCAGTCTAAAGACGAGTTCGTCTTCTTTCTGAGGATCTCTCAGTTTATATAAGTTTCATAATTTCTTCTTTCTTATTATCATCAAATAAAAAAAATGAACAAACAGTTTCTGTTTAATAAGTATATGTTTAATTAATAAATGGAAATAATAAAGGACCTTATATACCATCATTACAATTAACATCAAATAAATCTTCTTTTTTTTCTTATTTCATTTCTGTTAATCTTCCTTATAATAAAATGCCTGCCTAAAAGGATACAGTAGTATAGGCAGAATATTTCTTAAATACTACAAAAGCTAAGATATTTTCAATTATTTCTCTTTCAACATGAGAGAATATTTGTAATTCTTTTGGATAGAATCTACTTAAACTGAATATACTATCTCTCCATACAAAATCTTGCATATATAAACTCTATTTATAAAGAGAAACCATTAATTCAATTTCTATTTGAATTACTTCAACTAATGATGCTGCTAATACTTATGATATATATAATGTTGATTCTAATACTATATGATGACATGATAAAAATTAACCAATATCTTTAGAAATTGAATAATTTGTATAAGCTGAACTTGTTTCATTTACTCTTCCTCTTGTAATTATATAGAAATATCTAGCTAAATCACCCTCTCTATAGATACATTCATCTTTATCAAACAAGAGTTCTTTTGATTATAATGCTAATTGTTTAAGTAAATCATCATTAAATTCACTAAATAATGGAAGCACTTTTAATTTAGTATGTATAGATATTTAAGGCCAAATAGGTCTAATGTCTTCAACATTGCATACAAAATTATTTAATTACAATTTTAACTTTTAAAATTATTGAAACTATGAATACTAAATTTTTAATTATTACATCTAATTCTCCCAATTCATATTTTCTTAATAAATATTTTCCTTAACTAGCTAAACAACCTTAAGCTGATTTTTTAGTTTATATTAATTTAATAATCTCAGGAAAACTAACATAAAAATATCCTTCAATGAAATTTTCAGCATTAGTTCTATTTTCTTTAGATTCTTTGGATAATTTCTTTTTCAAATTTACATTAATTGGAAATTCTTCTATCATATTTTCCATTTCTATAATAATTATTAAAAATTTACCTTCATGTGCTCTAACATATGTAGAAATGACTTCATATCCCATAGCAACCCAATCAAATAATAGATCACCTGAAAATCTACGAATAATAGGGAATTTATTTAAACTATATAAAAATCTCATATAAATTGGTGAATAAAAAACATTATAAATGAAATCCCAAGAACACATTCTTCCTTCAACAGTATCTAAATCCCACCTAACAGATTCAATTAATAAATTATAAGCCTTACCACCACATTAATTTTATGAATATAAATCCCAATAAGTCTATTTTAATGCCATTAAAAATCTATCTCTTGTTTCAATAATATCATCTTAATCAATATCATCATCATTATAATCATCCTGTAATCCTTTACTCTTTAATAATTTTTAAAAACGTCCTACAATACTAGATTCTTTTTCTTTTTTATGTTTATTATCTTCATCTAATTATTTCTTACTAAGTTTATCATCTTTTTATTAAATTTATCTATTAGTTTCTGCTAATCCTGAAAAAAATTCAACTTTATTCCAATCTATAGTTTTCTATTTATAATCTTCTTTCATTTAATTTAATTTAAATTCAATTTATTCTTTCATTTCTTATAAAAAATTCAATCTTACTTTTGCTCTATATTAAGCAGTAGTACATAACCCACTAAACTTTACATATAAAGGTATAGTAGATCCATTAATCAACATAGTTAATATAACAATAAAAGTTGTATGAAATAAGAAAATATCACTCCATTAATCACTAAAAGATGGTTCCTTAACAACAAGTAATGCTAACATTAATTAGACAGCACCTCTAGTACCACTATATGAAAATAAAATAGCCTCACTCATTTTGACTTATTAACCATATAAATTGATAGTTGGTAAAAGTAATAATACACTAATAAATTTGGATAAAAGTATATAAAAGTAAAGTAATACAGTATTAATATAATCTTGTTTTCTTATATAAGGACTTTATTAATCAAATATTTTGTATCCACATGTCACACCTGTTATAATAAAAATAATGGTTTCATTAGCAAATTAAGTATATTACCAAAATATTTGTAAAGGATGTTCTACTTCAGTTCTAATTCTAATCTTTGAAAATGCAGACATGAACAATCCCAAAGTTATTACTGCAACTAAACCATTTTTTCTAAATCCTAAATCTACAGATTCAGCCACAAAATATGTTACATAGGCTGATACAATTGTAAGATTAATAGTTAATATTGAATTATGGTTTATTCTTCTTATCCACCAAACAGTGAACAATCCAAACATTATTCCTACAAATGCTCCTCCCAAAAGTAATGAAATTCCATATGATAATTCAACTGTAAGTAGATCACAATCACCTCTTGCACAATTTACTGCAATCAACATTAAAACCATTGAAGCACAATTATTTACTAAACTTTCTCCTTAAACTAATGAAATGAATTTTTTTGGAGCTTCAGCATTACTTAATATTTTTACAACCTGGAGTGTATCAGTACATGTTACTACTACTCCAAATACAAATGCAAATCCCCAACTATAATATTCATCATCATATTCTAATAGTAATTTCAATCCTAAACATATTAATGATGCAGAAATGAGTAGACTTGGAAATGATAATACAAATATTTGCATTATTTATTGTTTCATTATATAAATATCTGCATTGAAAGCACTACTAAATACTAATGCTGGCAAAAATAATGTCATATTAGAATTAGCATCAATATTAAAAGCTGCTTAAACAGTCCTATGTAATAAATGATTATGAATATTATTAAATTGAGATCCTATTAATATTCCCACCAGGAAAACTGCAGCAGGATATGGAATCATAATCTTCTTTGTAATTTCACTTACTAATCCTCCTATTGTTAGAGCAATAAAAATAAAAAATATCACTATTGCTATCTATGCCACATCTAAGTGTTCTGACATTTAATTTTATGAATATAATTGTTTAAAATTTTAATATATACATAAAATATATATATCAATTTTATTAATTAATTATTTTCAAACGCCATCCAAACAAAATAACTATAATTGATACTACAGACACATTTACTATTGTTTAGGAATTTTCTATTAAACATTCTTCAATTATATCAATTAATTTAATTGCTAATTCTAAATAATTAACATCCAAAAACTTTTCAATACCAGTTTAATCTATTTATTTATAAACATTAACACAAAAATCAATTATTTATACTTATGCATTAACTGGTAATATTGGAATTAGTGAATAACTATTTATAGATAATTCAAATATTTCTATTGATTTAGTTCTATTTATATTAACTCCTTATCCTAAGGCATACATCAACCCTAAATTAAAGTATACATGAGCTTTCATGGCATCAATCAATTAACCTTCCAATGCTTTTTTATAATGTTGAAAAGACTTTTTGAAATCTACATCATCAAATTTTCCATTATAATAATAATCACCTAATTTCATATGACAAATAGCTTCCTTCTCCTTAGCACATTAATTAAGGAATCGATATTATAATACTCCTTTTAATTTAAAACTGTCTAATTGTAATAGATCATACAGAGTAGATTAATTTACAAATTACAAATAATCCTAATACAAATAACCAAAAACATCATTTGTATTTCCTGTAATTTGATAAACAGGATCTTTATTAAGTCTATTTTGTACATCACTAAAGTGTAGAGTATCATAATAAAAAGCATCACTCTATTCCATCACAACAGCAGCATTTTCTAATAATTATTAAAAATTATATACATGTTGCTACAATAAATCCAGTATATCCTGCTTCAAAATATTTGGATAATGATTATGCATATTATTCTTATTAAAATAAGTAATTAGCTATTTTAAGTGTATCTGCCCAAGGACCTCTTGATGATGAAGAATGTAATAGAGAAGCAGCCAAATCACAAGAATAAAATAGATCTACTCCATCAAGTAATATTAATGCTAAACTATATTGAGCCATTGCATGTCCAGTTGCAGCTGCTTATTCAATCAATTATACTCCTTTAGGTTAATTTCGTTCCCTTTATATAGTAGAAGGTAACATATATAATGATCCTAAATTAAATTATCCATCATTATTTTATAAGTCTGCTGCCTCTAAAAGATTATATATAATTATATTTTACTTCTAAAATAATCTTATGCTTTTATTATATCTTATTGTACTCCTAATCCCTTAAAATAGATATAACCTAAAGCATTATAAATTTTCCCTTAATAATCTTAGTTTTTTGTTTCAATTTTATTCAAAATCTATAATGCCAATTCATAATTTGGTTTTTCTACACCTAAATTTTCAATATTCATCTAAGCTACTTTGATGCCAGATTCTTTATCATTTAATTAATCATATAATTTATAATATAATTAATATGCTTTTGAGTAATTTCTTCTGAGTCCATTTAATCCATAATAAAAACTATATGCTAATTACTTAACTTCTGTTGCTGAATCATAAGTGATTATATTCAAATTTTCAAATATTTAAGCATGTCCAAATATATCCAATTCATGATTCATATAAAAATTACTATCATACAAAGCTTTGGCTACTTATCTATTATCACTTATGTATTTTGCTTTAATTGGTGAATTTGCAAATTCTTCCAAAACTGGTAAATAAAATAAAGCTGAATTTGAGCAATTTTAATTGACTCCTATTCCCTTTAAATGTCTATAACCCATTGCAATACTACTTTAATCTAATCCTTAAATAGCAGAGAAATAAAGATCAATTAAAGAGACACTTTAATATTTCTCCTTTACATATCTATATAATTTTGATTCTGTTTTTAGATTGCTATATATGTTATATGATCCATCTAAATGTAAATATGTAAATAAAGACACATAAAATTAGGAAGTAATGTCACCAAGATCAGATGATTTCTTAAAATAATAAAGTGCCTAAATTATATATAATGACATACTCTAGCAAAATCTATAGAATTTTCATTTTCTAATCCATAAAAGATGTATTGGCCATACATTCTAAAAAATCTAGATTGATATTATTTTGGGATTTCATCTTTAAATTAGTATATGATTTCTTTGAATGTTTATTAACTTTCAATTGATGATTATTCAATATGAATTTCCCATTGTTTCAATAATTCATTTAAATTGTTTTGAGCATATATGCCTAATAATAAAGTTAATATAATCATTTTAATAATGCAACACACAATTTAAGAAATCTAAGCTATGTCTATATTAACACTTTATAGAATGTTGATTAAGAATGTTTAATATTATCCAAGCAAAAATAGATTCAAAATAATGTTAGCCATAAAAGAATCGTATTCAATTATTTTCTATAAACATTTTCTTAGATTCCGTGATAATAGACAATTAAACGATCCTAAAAGAATTACTTAAGAAATAAAGATAGCATAAATGGGATTAAGGAATTTAGAAATGTATAGAATCAAAAATAATGAAATGAAAGATGTATACAAAGTGAAAGATGATGGATTTTAAGACTCTATGAATCCAAAAGATAAAAATTTTATATATTTTTGAGTCAAACCATCATGTAATAATTTCGAAATCATCATCATCATCATCATCTGTAACTTAGTAGAATTGCTAAGAGTATTTTATATCATCATCATCATCTTCTTCCTCATTATTATTTATTAATTTCTATCCTTTTAACCCAACCATTTCTAAATCAATTGTAAACAGTAATCTAATACCATTACTTATTGATTCTTCATATGCTAAAATATTATAAGCATCTTATGCTTCTAATGGTCCATATAAAATTCTATTTGCCCAACTTTTTAATCTATTTCTTGGTAAAAAACTAATAATAGCTTCTTGATAATTTTTCAATATCTAAGATTTTTCAAAATATTAACATATTTCATCTTCTAAAAATAATTTAGAGATAGGATCTATTTTATTCTTACTACAAAACTCTTCAATTGATTCTTCAATTTTAATTTGTGAATTACAAATTCCACCCAGAATTTAAATGGTTGAATTCTTATTCTTATTATTAATCTCTTCAATAATCCTTTTTTCATACATAATCAATTCTTAACAATTTATATTTAAGTTTATTATTTGAAATTGTTAATCTTCATAATTAAAATATTAAACAATCCCAATTTCTCTCTCATTTTCCTTAATAATATAATCTTTAAAATCTGCATTTTAAATAGATTATTTAGTGAATATAAAACTATATTATTTTTCCTATTATTTTATATAATAAAATATTACATTCTAACTAGCATAAGCACATTCATATTATCCTAATTAAGATCTAATTGATGATTATAATTAATCTTTAATATAATTGCAAGGTTAACATATTTTTACAATGTTCTAAAATAATACTATAATGAATTATGGTATTCTATAAAAAATAATATTTATTTTATTTTACTATCTAGAATCAATTAAATGAAAAAAATCTTTAATTGTTTAATCTTTTGCATCAAATCCTATAACCATAAATAATAGATTTTTGTGAATAAATGGAGATTATTATTACATTTATTCAATTATTCCCAAAAATTATTTATTTGATTATTAATTCTCTCCAACTATGAATGAATATATATTCTGCTTCTCTTCATCTGTTACATTTTAATTGTAAAATCTATCTTATTATCTATTTATACCTATGAAAACCTTTCAAACCATGTTCAATTATGCCTGTCCAACTACTACCTCCTGTCTTTTGAATTTTAGTAGTTGAAGAATCAGTACCTGCATAAATTCTTGAAATATTGTCTCCACTTTCACCCCATAAAATTTTAATCAATTTTATTAAATCATGCACTTTCTCTTAATCTGACTTATAATTTAGTGCACATATTTTACCAAATCTAAAATAGTTTCACATCTAAATTCCTTTGGAATATTAATACCAAGATCATTTAATATAAGATTTGTAATAAAATAGGCTATTTTTGTTTAAAATACATTTGTTCTATCTAAACAATCTAAACAATTAGTTCTTACAATTCCATTCTAAATATTCACTAATTTAAAATCAAAAATACATACATAATTTTCCATTTTAAAATTTAGTATAAGATTATTAAATTAGAATCTCTTTATTTTCAATAATTAAAGGATTAAGTTTTTCAAATTTATAATTTTTACAATATTATTTGAAATCTATTTACTAATGTTTAACTTAAGGTATTTAAATTAAATTAATCATTCTTAAGTATTAAAATATATATAATACTCTTTATATGTTTAACTAATTATTGCTTCATTTTGTTTATCCATAGCCATTAAATCAATCAATAGAAGAGATCCAAAATATTTCTTCAAATTCATTAGATGTTTTGTTATACCCATCTTAGTTTATTCAGTATTTTAAGTTATTGATGAAATTGCACGAATCCCTACTTATTCCCAATATACTGGAACTGATCCTCTGATCTATAAATGACAATAAAGTTTCTCTTAATATTCTATTAATTGTTCTGTTTCTACTGTATTTGCTGCAGCTCCTTCAATATTTAATCCTCTATGATTATATCGTGTACCTCCTCTTAGAGTTTCTCTACGAGCAATCAAAATATATGTTAGTTATTAATTTTATTGTGTTTTTATTTCACAAATTCCTAAACCAACATATCCTTATATAATCTTAGTACACCAACACTTAGGAATCTTATAAGCTAAAAAATTTTTATAACCATGAAAATTCCACCAAAACCTCATACTTCTTTCACTTTATTCAGGTTAGTGTTATTATGATAATGGTAGTGTTAAATCATATTTTAATGAAAAATATGTGCATTTACTAAAATATCCTTCAACATTTTTAATGCTTTATTATTCAATAGAAGAAAAGTGATTCTATAAAACATTAGAAATAGAAATTATTTCGTATATACTTTAACCATTTATTTTACAAACCTAATTTGCCTCAGATATATAAAGTAGGTTATTTTTGCCAAAAAATTTATAAATCCCTACAATACCAAAAATTCCAATTTCTTATTATGCTGATTCAATCATAGGTTGATCTAGCTATGTTGAAAAGTTTGATCGATCAATAGTCAAGGACTTGTCAAATCCACAGATTTGAGGATTTGGCACAATCTTATTTTAGATCAATCTAATACATGTATTTTATCAGAACTAATGAACATTTTCATTGGTTTTATCATATTAATTAATTTTTCTTAATATTCTAATTAATTAAATAATATTATATGATAATAATGTCATTTAGTGAGGTAGATTTTAGATATTTATAAATATATATTCTATAATAGTATTTCTAAATATAAATGAAGGATCATCCTTAAAAGAACCTTTAGAATTTAAGAAATAAATAAAATAAGATTAACTAATATAAATATATTATAAAGACATAGAAACGGGATTCGCTCACTTCTCTTATTTTATTTTATCAATTATTATAATAAATCTAAATTAATTCAGAATTTATTATTACTCAATTATATTTGTAGATTCAGATTATTAAAACACACATTTTCATTTAATACTTATTCAAATCTTATATAATTAAGATTTAAGAATTATCTATTTTATTTAATAGTCACTCCTGTATTAAGTTAATAATTCAACATTAACATATCATTTGTTAACAATTTATGTCATAGTTATTACTGCAATTATATCAAATTATTTTTAGATTACTTTAACTCCAGTATTCATTATACAATAAAATATAAAATCTCATTTGAAAATAATGATCATCTTATAATAATCTTGTACTTAAAAATTTGGAATTTTAAGAATTTCTAAACTTAAACGCCATCATTTAAATAAGTATAATGTTTAGTTTAATATTTCTATTGATATAATTTAATTTAAGTAATTCTTCATCTCTAATACCTCTTATTACAGTAATCATTATCAATAATCTCTTTTCATAATGACATTTAAACTTCTCAATTAAGACCTATTCAATTTCAGTAAGAAAATAATATTAAGAAAGTGATATTTTTCATTAATTTAATAAATAGTTGATAAGCAAAAATAAAAACTTTTATTAGCTACAAAATTTGACTAATTTATTTTTATTTTATTTTGTTAATATGCTTGAAGATCACTTAGTTGAAGCATTGAATTTATTGAAAAAATAACCCAAACATAGATGCAAAGTTGAAATTGATCTATTAGTTCACTTTACATAAGAACTTCCTTTTTTTAAATAATATTACAATTAAGAGAATGGATTGACAATTCATCGTGAATGTTGTAAACACATGTTTTTAGAGGTGTTCTAAGCAACCGATATTGTTTTTCATGTTGGTATGGAGACTCAATTAATAATACAGATTCGATTGGCACAAAATTTTATGTGATTCTTGATGGTCATGTAGAAGTATTGATTAAGAGAAGAGGTTATGATGAATTAGAATCTGTAAGAATTCTGAGACAAGGAGAATCATTTGGAGAATTAGCTCTTATTCATAGATAACCAAGATTAGCTACTATTCGTTGTGTAAATAATTGTTACTTTGCTGTTCTTGATAAACAGTAGTTTCAATATATTCTGCATTATGAGTAAACAAAAAAGATCGAATAAGTAAAAAATAATAATTATTATTATTCAGAATATAGATTATTTTGCTTAGATTTCAATATTTAATCAACTAAATAGAACTTAATTAACTTAGATCTATTTGAATTCATTTCTATATGAATATGAAAAAAATTAGATTGTATTATAAGTAGGAGATAAATCAGATAGCTTTCTAATTGTAAAATCTGGCTTATTTTAAGTACGTAAATAAATGAATAAATCTCATCCTTTAATTGTAATTAATATCCACTATATTTTAGTTATTTGAGATTGGAGAATTACAAGTATTTGGGTTTTATCATCTCTTTAATAAAATTCCATACGAATTCTAGATTATTTGTCTTAGTCCTAAGGGACAAATCTACAAAATACACAGAACATCTTTGATTGAAAAAATTTTTGAAGGACATACAGAGGATTTGGAAAAACATATGTAAGAAATTAATTGTTATGTCAATTTTAAAGTTCATTAAGAATAAAATACTCATCTTAAATATCCTAGATATTTTCAAATAAAAACATAATGCGATTAAGATAATGAGATTTAGGAAGAATATATAAAAAGTTGTAGAAATAAAGAATCTAAAAATTAAAATTATAAAAGTAGAAATTAATTGATCAAATAAAAAATGGATACAATGATAGAGCAATCCAAAAGAAAATTAGGATTAACATCTACTATCCCTAAATTTAATAGTTTATTCTAAATTTTCCTTAAGTCTCATAGAGGGTTAAAAGAAAATCAAAGATAAAATATTTCATCTTTGAAAGATACTATGACTAGATAATTTGGAAGTAGTAGTCACTTTTATCATAATGATGATCAACCAAATAATCCTTTTATAACTTTTAGAAGCAGTAGTCCAACTATGAAAAATTAAGGAAAATAATTCCTAACTCTTAGAACATATAACAGTTAAAGAACAATAGTTAAATCAAGTCAACATTATAATTAAAATTTCCAATTTTAGGATAACAATAATTCAAAGCATTTTTAAACATAGAAAAATTATATATCCTTAAGTCCAAATGTTATGAAACTTAAAGTATATAAACATTGACTCTTTATTATTTTAAATAATGAAAATAAAGTCAAATATCTATATGCATTTAATGACCAGAAGTAAGTCCTTAAGTATTGAATTAACTAGGTCTCTAGGTTTAATCGGGAGAATTGTCCTGTTCACTACTATGAGCACCACTTGAAAGGTCTCTTAAAACATGAACTTCATTCTTTCTTTTTTCCTTCAATTCATCAAGTTTCCATTTCATTCTCCTCATTATAATGAAAGCACTATTAATATCCTCGCTTGTCCAAGCACAAGTCTTAGCATTTTTCAATTACTCAATCAATTACAACCTCTTCTTAATCAAATCTTTAGTTGCTTTCACTAATTTTTTTGGTTCTAATCTAAAATAAAAATATTGTATTGATCTTACTCTGTATCATCACCATATTTCCTTGTTAAAATGTTATGAGACAGTATTTCAAGAACATCATAAAAGAAATACATAGCTGTTTGGTTTTTGATATAGACTGGTAATCGATATTAATTTATAAATTTTCTTTTCTCCATTTGAGTTAGTAATAATCCTTTCCACTAAATAATTATATATTATTAATTACTCCCAAAGGTTTAGGCAATTTAACCATAAAACGATCCAAATCTAATGCTCTTATCAATCCACTACCAGTTTAATCATAAAATTTCCAAACTTCAATAAATGCCTGTATATGATTAGTAGATATAGAAGAAGCTTCATCTTTCTATATAATTTCGTATCCTTACACAATAATGGCAACAAATAAATTAAGCATAATCATTGCAAATATCATCTAAAAACTCACCATATAAGCAACTCCATACCAAAATCCACAACCATTAAAACCATGTAATTAATAATCAATCAATAGATTTTCAGAGAAACACACATTATTAGGTGTCATTTATCTCACTAAATCTGCCTAAACCTAATCCCATTATTCACCTGTACTGCATTTAAATAAAGTAAAAAATGCTTTACCCAAAGTAGAAAAATTGATAGAATCAGTTAAACCATTATTTGACCATTTTACATAAGGAAATAGATTTATTCCTAAAACAGCAAACATAAATAAAATGATTGATAATAACCCACCAATATTAGCTAATTAACTTACTGTTAGGAAGAATGTTTCAAAAATAGCTTTAAGACTCCTTGCTGATCTAATTAATCTCATGATTCTAACTATTCTAAAAGATCGAAAAACACTTATTACAGTACCAAAAGCAGTTAAAATTGACATTTATTCTAAGACAGATCCTGCAATACTTAAGATAACTACAACAAAATCAAATCGATTGAATGGCTCTGCAAAATATTACCATCCTAATGCAATTAATTTGATTAGCATTTCAGTTGTGAATATACATAGAAATCCTAAATTTGAATATGATATAATAATATCTAATATATCAGGTTATCTTACAAATTGTAACATAAACAATATAGTATTAATTGTAATTAGAAAAAAGATCATGGAATCAAAGTATTTATGATTTATTATTTAAAACATTTTAGCTCTAAACCATTAATCACTCATTCTTTAATTAATTTATGGTTTAGCATAGTAAATTCTTTCTTTTATATCTACCCATTCTTATTATTCAAGAGTCATATAAAAATATCCACGTAATTTATCTGTTTCAGAATTGAAGGCATCTAAAACAACACCAGCAAATAAATTCATCACAAAAAAAGATCCAATAATTACAAATCCAATATAAAATAAAGACCAATACATATTATAATTATGTATTGGTTATAAATCAATACCAACACTATCAATTCCTTAATACATTTATTCAAGCCATCCTTCAGTTGTTGAAATTACAAATAATGAACTAATTGAATTAAGAGCATTATCAAAATTATAATCTGCATTAACCCAATTACCTCCATAATCAAAACAGTCATACTTTCCTATTATTTAATATTCACCAACCTTACTAATATCACAAGAATAAAAGGCTCCTTTAAAAAAATTTGTACCAAATATACCAAACATTCCATAAAAAACTAAACTAACTAATATTAGATTGAAAATCTTAGATAAACTAAGTATCAAAGCATTAATTGCAATTTTTAAACTATCACTTCTTGAAACTAATCTTAAAGGACGCAAAACTCTAAAAATTCTTAGAATTTTAAATATTTATAAATTTGCATCAGAAAATATACTTACCCAACTAAATATTATAACAATGAAATCCAATACATTAGCATAATCTCTCATATAACTAAATTCTCCATTAACTAGAAATCCATAGGCTAAGATTTTTAATAATGATTCAGCTGTAAATATAATTGTAACAACTAAATCTATTTCTGTTAATACTTCTGAATTACTTTCTTCTAAAGGATCATCCAAAGCAAGAAGAACAGAAGAAACCAATATCATAAGAATAATAAATCCAACAACTTATGATTTGTTAATAAATCTAAAAGCAAATCTTCTTATTTTAGATTATTAATCAAAAATAAAAAGTGAAGTACCTACTATGAGAACTCCTTCTAAATGATCTTAAGCAGAAGAAGTTTCATGTTTACTGAAAACACTACTTTTCTTATCAGGTTATTAAGAAGATTGATGAAGTGAAATTTATGGTGTATATCCATCTTAAAATGTTAAAGGTCCTTAACTTTGAAATTACATTTTTTGTTCCATTTGTTTAATATATTCTTCATCACCTGAAGAATCATCACTAATCTCTTCTGGATCAACTATCTCAGCAGTATCAAAAAACCTTTTAATCAATTTTTTTTATTTTGTTTCTTTTCTTACTTCAAATCTGGCCTGATCATATTTTGCTAAAAAGAAACAAGCAACATCTGAATTTTGATGTTATCCAATATAATTTTAATTTATTTTTAATTTCTTTTAATGTTCTGGATGTACTTCTTCAGGTTTTGGAGATTTATGTTTAATTTTTTCTTCAGGATCAAATACTTTTATAGATGATCTAAATTATTCAACCAATTATTAAAAATTCAATTTTCTCATTTTATCTTATAATTTCTTTTCAGTTTCTATAGATTTTTATCCAAAATTATATATTAATATTGCTATAAATAATTTTAGAAGTATTAAATTTCCCATAATCACTACACTAATAAAAAATATTAATGGCCACCATTAATCTGATTTATACATATATAAATAAGTTTAGATATTCCATGATTCTGATGTTAATAAAGCAAATATAGTAATCATAGCATCAAAGAATGTATTGAAATTTAATCTAACATCTGGAATATTGTATGCAAATAATTCCATACCAACCAATGATGCTATAACCATGAATAAAAGTAATAACATAGTAAAAAAACTAATAGCTTCTAATGTTGTTGCTATTGCTATAAGAATTTCCCTTAAAGAATTCCAAGATCTTGCTAATTTGAATATTCTAAAGACTCTCAAAGTTCTAAAAGCTGAAACAGCCGTTATTGATCCTCCAGATACAGATATTTCAGCAAGGTCTAATACTTATTCAACTAAAGAAATTGCTACAATTATAGCATCAAATATATTCATATAATCTTTGAAATATTCAGTTATTCCTAAGGCAAAGAATTTCAAGATCATTTCTATAACAAAAAATAAAGTAAAAGCCAAATTTAGATATGATAATATTATAATTTCTGATTTTGGTTGAGGATATCTATCCATAGCCAATACTACAGTATTAGCAGCTATAATGAAATTGACTAATATAGTGAAGAAAAGGGATTCTATAAATCTTAAAAAAAATTATTTGAATTTAGTATCAAAATTAGTTCCTTTATCATCATTTACATCTAAAGTATATAAAGATGGATCAAAAAAATTAATTTATTATTTCTCCTTTTTAACTTTTCTATTAAATTAATCTTGTAATATCTTTAATTGTTCTGCTCTTCCTTAAAATTTACTTGGTTTCAAGACTTATTTTATTATTTCTTCTTTTTTCTTTTAAGCTTCTTCATCTGAATCAGAATCATCTGATGGTACTAAATCAGCTATGTTTTAAGTTGGATGTATTTGAGCATTCTATCGTTCTTTTTATTTTTTTTCTTTTCTCTATTGTTTTCTTTGTTACTCCTCTTTCAATAATTCTTATCTTCTCTCTGATTGATTTTTTAAAAATGAATCATTAATAACAGCTAGAATAAGATTTATTGTAAAAAATGATCCTATTATAATTAATAGATTAAAATAGATATAAACCAAAATTGGATTAACAGCATCTATTAATTATGTAACAATTGTAGACCATCCTTCTGTTGTTAGAGCTTAAAAGATAGTAAAAGTGGCAGTTAATATATTATCAAAAGTAGTGTAAGAGTAATTTAATTCAGGGATGGGAATGTCTTAATTAGGAAGATTGTAATTGATAGGATTACCACAATACTCATTCTCAGGACAATCTGAATCTGAACTACATAAATGAGTTATTAATGGATCTGCTGGCCAAGTTCCATTTACTGGAAATTATGTAAATCTACATCTATTTTCATAAGCACCTGCAAATAATTGCAATCCTAATATTCCAAATATAACTAATAGATATAACAGAAAAACTAAAACATTACCTAAATTAGGTAAGGAATCCAATAAAGAAGCCACTAAAATTCTAAGACCAGGAACAGATTTAATAGATCTTAATGGTCTTAAAATTCTGATGGTTCTAATTGCACTTAGATTAAAACTACCAACCAAAGAGAGAATACTTGTTCCCACTACTGCAAAATCTAAAACATTCCAACCATCTCTTAAGTATGTATGTCTTTCAAAAAGAAATCCCATAGCTAATATTTTTAGAATAAATTCTAATAAAAATACAGCTGTAAAAAAGTATTCCATTTAATTTCTAACATATGTCAATTCAGACTGATTTGAAGTTCCATTTACTCTAAAATCATAATTCTACATTGCCAAAGATATAGTGTTCAGAACTATAATTAGAGTAATAATTTTATCAAACCAGTGCCAAGTTACAATCCAAACGCAATATTTTCTAATTATGTTTGATTCATTCAAAATGTACAATGAATTTTTACCAAAACTATATTTCTTTTCATGCATATAGAAATTATGTTCTACTAGTCTGTCACCTGATTAGGAGTTGTAAGGTTTTTTGCGAATCCCCAAATCTTCTTAATTTACATAATATTAGAATTTAAAGAAATTCATTCCAAACATGTCTTCAGCCTTCATTGTACTCTTTCTTTTTAAAACTTATCTTTTCACTTATGTTGGTGATTTATGAACCTTAACTGCATCATGCTCATCTCTTCCAAAATGTTCTTCCCTTTATTGATTTTCTCTCTCTTCTGCCTCATCTTCTGAAGAATTATCTTTTTATTCTGATTCCTCAGAAATTTTATCATTTTCTTCATTTTGGCTCATTATAAAATAAAATAAAATAATTTGTAATATTAAACAAAGTCTGTTTAAATTAAGATCAGTTACTATTTATCAAAGAGATATATAGTCAAATATGTATATTTAATGATCAGTCTGTATGCAATTTCTATTTTTTTTAAATACAAAATTGTATAAAAAAGATTATGCAAGTTTCAAGCTTAGCTTATAATATATTAGAATTTTTAGGATGGAAATAAAACTAAAATAAGAAGAAAACTGTTAATTAATAAATATGTTAAAGAGCTGGATTAAGTTTAATAAGAGCTTTCATAATTTGATCTATAATTGTTTAATGATACATAATTAGCAGTTGATGTTAAAATTGCAAGCAAAATCTTTATATCTACTGACTTCATTTTAAATTTTACTGATTAGAAATGAATATTCAATATATTCATGACTTATTAAATGAAAATAATGTAAAAATGATTATAAATATAATATCAATTGATTTAGAGTACTTGCTTTCTTATCAAAATTTGTATTTTATAAGAAAAAGATTTTTTTTGTACATACATAAGACTATTCTAGGTATGTCCAAAGATAGCATTCTCACTATTTTAAGTAGAAAAAATCAGAATAATAAATTATTAATTCTAACTCCTTTGAAAATTAGTAAAGAATGATTACAATAATATAATTGTTATTTAAATTTAAATTAATTTATAACCAAATATTTCAAGCTAAATTATGCTTAATAATTATTTATTTTATAGTTCTATCTAACTGATTATCTAGGAACAAAGAGGTCTAAGGTATAAGTAAAATAAACTTAAGCACCAATTTAAATTCTTGGTAGTAAATTGATGTAATAACTTTATAAATCATCACAATAGAAATTATATAAAAAATGATTGCACAAATGTTAATAATCTAAAACTTTATCATATTATGTACCAATATTTAATCAATTAGATTATAAGTAAAATGAACTAATTCATCTTAAAATTGTAATTTGATATTAGAAACAGCATCATAACTTATTAGTCCTATTTCAAGTTGTTCATTAAGAGAATATTATTAAATACTAAAGTTTTAAGAATTTTTGTATTCATTTAGTAATTCATTTCTTACAGTATTTAAAGCTAGTTGAAAACCTCTTCTAACAACCCCATCATAGACAGAATCACAATGCATTTAGGCACTTTCTATTTTAAACTAATTACAAATATCAGTTGAATATTTACTTATGGAAGAAATTCACAAACATCATTTTACATTAGTTATTCTATCTTATTTATAAATGCCTCTGATGTTATCAAAGTAGATGGATCAAATTCTGACATTTATGCTAAAAATTCATTAATAGTATCAATATGTTCAAAAAATATTTAAATAAAATAGGTAGTATCTTTGATAAAAAAAAAGGCTTATTAATTTTTATCTGATACTACATATATGATTTACCTTAAACTAAACACACCAGTTGATGCAATACTGACATCACACAAAGTGTTAAAGAAATGTGTAGTATCTGGATATTTGGAAAAATATGATTCCCCCAAAGAAGTTGATATGAAACATAATCCAAAACACAAAGCATATATTGTTGAATATATTATTAAAGATGGTAGTTTTGTAGTTTTCTGATTAAAGTTTAGATTTGTGGCTTTTTATTTCTATTTATGCCCTTTCTAATTTTGGGCTATTTTCTCTTTTCTTATATCTTCAGCAGCTAGAAACTTCTCTTTCAAATCAAGATCAAATTGATATTTAAATAAAACATCTGAATCTTTAATTACTAAAGCAGATATGCCTTTGTATCTATCAATATCTCTTTATATCCACACTATTTCTAACATTGAAAAAAGTTATATAAATTGATCATATTATTGCAAATATTAGTTGTGAAATCTTATAACAATTAACAATAATAAAAATCCTATAATTAAAATTGGAATCATTAATGACATCCATTTTTCTTTAACTGTTACAGATCTTTAAACAGAATAAGATAACATATCCTAATTTACTATTGTTAATTAATCATAAAAAGTCTGATAATTTCCAAATAAATATACAAAAAACCCTGAAGTTGGATCTAAGGAAGTAAAAATGTTTAAATAATCCAACAATACAAATTAATAAGCTGCTTCTAAAGAAAGGTAGATTGCCTCTCTTGCAGATACATTTCTATTTGATGTAGTTGTTTATTCAGATTACATTATAGTGAAATTTTTATCTTAAAAAAATGGATTTAAATATTAATTTGATAATTGTTTTATATAACTAGACTTTAATTCTTCATAATTATATGTTATATCATTTTTTGCATATTCTAATTTTAAAGCTGCTGTTGAGGCATTCATCATACCAATCATATTCAATATTGCATAAAACATCACAGCATTTTAAGCAACAATGTAATTATCAATTGGTGCAACAATATTAGATTTTATTTGAACCATATCTAATTCTTATAAGAATCTATTCAAATCATCAGATGAAAATATCATTTAAACAATTGAAAATACAATAAAAAGTAATAATAATACTATTAAAAAAGTTCTAGCTAAATAATAATATCTTGAGAATTTTTCAGAAGTAATCAATTTCTAAATCAAATCATATTTTTTAGAATATTTTGACTTTTTAAAAGCTGCAACTGAACTTACTTAAGATCCCATATCATCAACTTACACAACATTTTAATCCTATTCTTCTAATTACATTTACATTTTTATATTTTCTTATAACTCTTAATCAATATCATCTAATTATAATTTATCTATTTAATTTTAATTTTTTATTTCATCATCATTTTCATCTATACTTTCCTCTTCTGCATTAGATGATACATCTTTTTAATCAACAGCTGAAAAAAATTGTTATCTAACATTCTAATTTCTTCTACTATTATTTTCATATAATCCTCCTTCAATATATTTTGCATCTATCAATTTTTAACCTACATCTTTAGGACTCATCAAAGAAACATTTGGATAAAATGATTAATTTTAATTTTTTTAATTTTATAAGACTTTTCTTCCAAATTAAGCATCACTTTCTGATTAATCTTAATCTTATTCAAAATTCATAATTTAATTTTGATTCTCTTATTAATCAAATTCCAAAGCTCTTGGTATGTTAGCATAAAATTCATCCTATTCAAAAAATTAAATATCTTCAAAATCATCATCTTAAAATTAAGTTTAAGATGCTCCAGGTGTTGGAGTAATATTTTCTGTTTACAATGGAGTATTAATTGTTTTCTAATATCTTTTTGCCTCTCTTATCTCTACAATAGCATAATTACTTGATGAATCTAACTTCAATTTTCTATAGTGAAATACTGCTTCTACAACAAACTACTAACAATTTGATTCTGTATCCCAATCATATTTTTAATTTTTAATCAAGCAATCAATCTCTGGTAAAATCATATGAATTTAATATTCACTCTAATCCATTACATCTTATTCAAAATCATCATTATCATTTGAAAATTTAGTTCCATTCATTTCCATAATCATTTACAATTTAGGAAAGACTTTTGATAATGGTTATTTATAAAGTGTTTCCATTAATGAATTAATTAACTTAACTGGATAACCAATTTTATTAACAAAGTTTTTACTTATACTTTAAATTTTGTTATTATTGCAACAAAATATAAAAGCATTTTAGCTATCTTTATTTTAGAAAAAACAAGCAAATGTTAAATCTTCTAAATTACTTACATTAATATCAAAAAAAAAATCTATAGATTTAATAAATTTCTTTTAAAATCTGCAGTAATTCTAATTTATTAAACGAAAGAATTTCGAATAACCAGAGGATAAAAAATGTTATACAAATTTTGAATGGATTGAATCAAAATTATTAGGTAGAAGATGATCGATAGTTTTAAATAATTAAAATTTTTCCTAATTATATCCAAAAAAATCGTGGATTTGATTGGAACATTGTCTAATTTATAATTTATGTGATTTTTCATCAAATCCCACAATTATATAATCTAATTTACTAGAAAACATATCAAAACTTATTTAAGATTACATTTTAAATAGTTTTTCATCAGATATCGAAGTTATTGTGGCTAATTTGTATGCTTAAAAATAATTATTCATTACTTCTGACTAATAAAAAGTATTGAGTGCTTGCATTTTTCTACCTTTTAAATAATATATAATATATATATACTTGGGAATTAGAAATATAATTTTAATAGTTCATCTTCAAGTTATGTTAATTTCATAATCATTTACTTAGCTGCATTAAATAAATTTAAATTAGAATTTAATAAAATTAAATTAACAAAGAAATCCTTTTTTTTATTAATCATTTTGATGATCTTATTTTTTAATTTTTTATTGCTTTCTTCTGATTTTAAAAATAATTTAACAGCATGTTCAAGATTATCAGATAATATTTAATTGCTCTATTTACCTAATCCAGTACTCATTGTCTTCTTTATTAATTCTTACATTAAAATCAGTCTTTATTTATATATAAATCCCATATTCTAAATCTTTATGTGAATCATTTCATCAGGTTTACTATCAATCTTTGATTTTTATAAAGAACTATTTTATTAGTCCAAACTATTACTGGATTCAGCTTTCTAACTTCCAGCTTTAACAACTTATACTTTGCTAAATTAAGATGAACTAGAATAATATAATATATAATATTTTACAAGTTTTCACTTTCTTAATAAACTACAAGATTTGATTATTAAAATGCTCTTGTACTTAATCCTAAATAATGTATCAAAGATAAATAGTTTAAAAAATATAATTATTTATTTGATTATTGCTTAATTTTATTAATTGTTAAATTAAAGTTGTTAACTTAATCTTTTAAATATAGATTTATAATTTACTCAAAAGTTAATTATTATTGTTGAGTACACAAACATTTGGGTGTTTAACAATGTTTTAAATGTATTTACTGAAAATAGATAATTTATATGATTTTTTAATTATCATGTAAATAGGAATTTTTGATTTCTCCAAATTCATCAATAATCGAAGCAATTT